GCTGGCTGAGGAATTCTGGGAGTTGAAGTCCACAAGTCTTAAAGTTGCCAAGGTTGGAAACCCCTGATTTAGAGCAAGTGTTTTTTGCTGGCTGGGAAATTTGGGGAATTTAAATCCATACATCTTAAAGTTGCCAAGTGTGAAAAACGCCGATTTAGAGTAAGTGCAAACTCAGTTTTGGCTGCACCTGATGTCAAAGACATAGATTTCTTCATGAACAAAATGGCTGAGCAAGGAACATTTCCTCTTCTGTATAATATAACTTCCTTTTTCAGTTAAATGGAAGGTAGAACCAAGTTCTTCCAGTTGCTATATTAGCAATTAATGAACACTGATCATGACTAAACAATGAAAGAAAAAGACAGCTTGCCTTGGATTTTCCTAATTCTATACCTAAAACATCAATATGAAACAGATTGGGCTAAGACAATGACTGACTGGCTCAAAGTTCCCCAGTGAGTTCCAAGTATGAATGGGGATGTAAATATGGCTTTCTCTAGCTAAAGACCAATTTTACATATCAAAGAATATTCATTCCTAGAATTAACCAATCCCAAACAAACATCACTTGTGCATTTTGTTGAAGAGACATTTTGTAATGGAAAATTATTTTATACCTCTAATACTTTTAAGCATGTATAATATACAGGGGTGGGATTCAAATTTTTTAACAATCGGTTCTGTGGGCATGGCTTAGTTGGTGGGCGTGGCTTGGTGGTCATGTGACTGGTGGACGTGGCTTGGTGGTCATGTTATTGGCTGGGCGTGGCCAACTCAATATCACTCTCATCTAGGCACGCATCTCCTCGCCTGGCCTCTCATGACTGTGGGGATGCTGCAACAGTCATAAGTATGAAAAATGGTCATAAGTCACTTTTTTCAGTGCCATTGTAACTTTGAATGGTCACTCCACACAAGCAAAGTACCAGCAAAGGAGGGGAAAATAACTCCAGAGACGTTCCTGAGACAGGAAGTCTAGTCCTGCCAAGAATGTAATAGGGGTTAACGGAGAGGCAGTTTTTGAAAGCAACACCAGAATGTTTCCTTCCTGCCTTCCTTACAGGATTAGGCCAGTAATTTCTTCTAACAACCGGTTCTCCGAACTGCTTAGAACGTTAACAACCAGTTCTAGCGAATAGGTGCGAACTGGTAGAATCCCACTCCTGATAATATATATATTATACTTATTTAAGTATAACAATATACTTATTTATGCAGCTGAAACACTTATGAATATTTTTAAAATAGACGACATAGACTGACAAGATCAATAAATTGCCTTGGTGATATGGAAGCATTTATACACTGTAATGCTGCCAAGAAAAGAATTTGCCATTTTGTTAAAAATTTCACTCAGCAAAGCTGTACCTCTTTTGCAATCTTTGCAAATATGGCATTTGCCCTTCCCCTCCCCCTGTGATGTCATCCTTTTTCAGGTCATCTACCTCTCCTTTGTCAATGTAAACAATTCCTCCTATTGCAAAGTATAGATAAAAGCAAATCTTGCTTTTAGATGCTCATGGGACGGGGGAGGGAGAAAGAGGCCCATGTAACAAGTAATGTTAAATGGCCATGGAATTGGCAAGGAAGATGCTGACTTAAATAAGACAAGACTCTGAAGCAGAACTTTCTTTGACAGTAAGCATACATTCCTATTCCCAGGCAGAGCGCTGTCATGGACTAAGCAGATTTTGTTGGTTCACCTAAATTCTGCCCATTAAGACATATATATTATTCATCAGGGGTTTTTACAACTAAAAGATGATTGAAGAGAAGGAAAAAGAATCACAGGCCTTCTGCTGCAACAGGTTTTACTTCTATCCAGAGGAAATTTAAACAAAATGTATAGAACTGCGAAGCTCATTAATTCAGGAAACAGCAATGAAACATTTTAGTCTATACATGTAGTCCTCAACTTACAAACAGTTGCTTAGTGACCATTTGAAGTTATGACAAACCCTCCAAAAGCTACTTACAACCTGGTTCTGGAGTTCCAATAACTACAAAAACCCCGCAATTTACATAACCACATTTTGGGCGCTTAACAACTAGCTCACCTTTATGGTTGGTTTCCAGCAAAAAATGACATAGGAATACTCTGATTCACTTAATGACTGCACATTTGCTTAATGACTGCTGCAAAAGTGTCATAAAGCTGGGTTCGGTCATGTGGGTGCCTCACCTTATGAACATCATGACTTACAGTGGAAATTACGATCATAAGTTGAGGGCTATCTGTACTATCTGAAAATAAATTTGACTTAATAAAGGAATTCGTTTTCAAATAGGCATGAATAAGATTAGACTGCATAGCTTCCAGAAAAGTTATTTTTTTTTCAGAAAAAAAAATCTAAATTATGATATGTACAGCTACATATTTAAAAAACACCAAGCTTCTTTTTGATATTCTCAATTTGTATGACTGCCATTTGCAACCCATTTGGTCACCTTTAAAGTTTAGATTTAAAAAACTTTCAATCAGAATTAATAAAAACTAATGTGCTTTACAAAGATGAAAAATAAAGTAAATGAAATCCTAATATATACATTTGCCTAGAAATTGGTTGCACGATTTAATACAGTGCTGAATTGACATTTATGGAATTGTATTACAAGTTTACAAATCCAATGCACACTTCCGACTAAATCCTATAGAATTTTGTTGATTTTATTTCTTAAGAAATTCAGCTTCAGACTTGTCATTTGATGTACATGAATCCAAGTGAGCACTCTGGATTGTAGCAGTGAAATGGATTCATATATCATAATAAAGTATGATTTTTTGGTGCTCATTTGCTGATTAAATCACAATAGTTGGTGGCCACATTGTGATAACTTAAAATTACTTGCAATTGCACATTGTCAACAAAGTTCATCTTATTTAATTGTTGTAAGGACTTTAATTTGGAGCAATTCAAGTTGGAGGGAACTGTGTATAATTAAAATGCAGCAAAAATTTACTGACATGGAAAGAAATTTTGTAATTTGATTAGAGAAATTACAAGTACAAACTCCCCTTTTTAAAAATTGTATTTAGTAACAAATACAATATATCTTTTTTTGAAAAAATCTGTGGTGCTAAAGAATTATGGAAAATACTTTCAGGTAAAGGTACTTACAATTATAACACAATATCGAATCTTCAAAGATAGTAGTGCTAGTTATAATGATCAAAGAAGTCACTCTCCCTTAGAAATGACATTAAGAGCTAACAATGACACATAATACTTACTGTGATAGTAGCAATTTGCAAAGAGGGATATCAAATTCCAAAAAGGCAGGCAAAAAAGGAAAGAAATAGAGAGGTGCCTTCGGCTAAAAGACGATCAGGTCCATACTGATATTAGGCAAGTAACCAATGAAAAGAAGAGTTCAGTTCAGCGTCAAAAGAAAGGGCGGTTACAACTGATAATTTATATGCATTTTCCAAATAAAATTATCTATGTAGTGGGGGGGGGGGGGGGAATCTAATTTAAGATAACTGCCAAGACAATTATTTCACATATCCAAAAGTCTTCTCAGTATTTTAAACATAAACTATGCTATTCTGAAAACTGAGAAAGCTTTCAAATGTAGAACAAGCATGGAAGATAAAGTGGAGATGTACAATTCAAAGAAAAAGCAGAAAATCCCACTAGATGAGCCAGGTTTTGTCTTTTTGGATTCCAGCAATATTTAAATATTTGTGTTTAGCATTTGATAGCTTTTGAGCCCAGACTAGATCATCCAGATACTAAGTACTATAGGTAGTCCTCAACTTACAACAGTTCATTTAGTGACCATTCAAAGTTACAATGGCACTGAAAAAAGTGACTTATGACCATTTTTCACTTATGATCTTTGAAGCATCCCCATGATCATGTGATCAAAATTCAGACGCTTGGCAACTGGTTCATACTTATGACCGTTGCTGCGCCCCAAGGTCATACGATCACCTTTTGCAATCTTCTGACAAGTGGTCAATGGGGAAGCCAGATTCACTTAGCATAACTGTGTTACTAACTTATCAACTACAGTGATTCATTTAACAATTGTGGCAAAAAAGGTCGTAAAATGGGGCAAAACTCACTTAACAAATGTCTTGTTTATCAACAGAAATTGTGGGTTCAATGAGGACTACCTGTAGTTACAAGTTAAAACTTGGATGGAAAACCATAGGGAATCCTGGTGGTAGGTTAAATTAGAAAGTTGAAAAACAACCTAGAAAAAGTTAAAACATTTTTATCCAGGTTCCTTAAACCAGGGATGAAATCCATGCCTGGAATTTATATTATTTGTTTGGTTTTGCTGCGAATTATGTGTGCCAACACCTATTCTCCTGACGTTATTTATCTGTGAGGCAAGGACAATTACAATTCTCCTGGGCACTGAATTGTGTTATATATCAACATTTAAATTCATGGGCCTTGTTTTAAAATTTAGGACTTACTTTGAATATTCCTCCTTCCCCATTCCTTCTTTGACCTCAAACTAGCGGGAAAGTACTGGCAAGCTGCTTAGTTGTTTTTTTCTTGTTCTTTCACTATATACATATACAACTGCACACCAGTGATAATCATATTTTTAAACCTATATTCTTCCTAAGCTACAGATGCTTATGTATTCTTACTGGACTTTTCAAAAAGCCAGCACAACTTTAAACAAACGTTTTACATTGTACGTTGGAGCTCATTGGACTCCAATGAAAAGAAGCAACAAATACTAAACGCCCTAGATTCCACTATAGGGTGAAGTGCCAACACAAGTAACCTGCGTAAGAATGCAATGTAAGCATGTTTGTCCACATGTAGCTACATGAATTAAAAGCAACTGAAATAGCAGTGGCAGTAAGACTTTCATTTGTCTTACAAATCCAGTACTGTAAACAGCCCTGAACAATATTACCAGAAATAATAAAAAACATATGAGCTTTTTAACCCTGCCTACTATTCTGTATGCTATATATTGGAATGTGATATTAAACAGCAATTCATTGTGGCTACTGTCCTAAATTATAGATGTCTTACAAACAATTGCTTTCAGGGAAAAAAAAATCTCTCAGCAATGTTTAAAGCGGGATCTATAGATGGTCCTTGTTTAACAACCATTTATTGAGTAAAAATTCATAATTAGAACAGTGATGAACAAGAGGGACTTACTGCCAGTGCTTGAAGTTGCAGCTATTATAGCATCTCTGCTATGTGATGTGACCATAATTCAGGTGTTTGGCAATTGGCTTGCAATTATGATGGTTGCAGTGTACTATGGTCATGTGATTGCCATTTGCCACCTTCCCTGCTGACTTCCCACAAGCAAACTAAATGGGGAATTTAGCAGGAAGTTGCAAATTGCTCCTGCTCTCATTCCTGCCCTCCCAGAAGCCTCCAAGTGGCATGGGGATCTTGTACTCCATAGTGCCTGTCTGTGGCACCTGCTTGCACTCTGTAGAGCAGTGATGGCCAACCTTTTCATCGCGTACCGAAAGTGTGTGTACGTGCGCATGAGTGCCTGCACCCATAATACAATGTGCGTGCGACCCTCCTGCGCGCCGTGCACCTCTGCACGTGCACACACGACCCCCCCTTGTGCACGCTCTGCCTTCTGCACATGCGTGGCAGATATCCGACAATCAGCTGGCTGGCAGGAGGTGCACGCGCAGTGGATCTATTCCGGGCAACAGCTCGTGTGCTGGCAGAAATGGCTCTGCCATAGTTTCGCCATCACAGCTGTAGGGCTTACCAGTGGAACCCACCTATCCATTCAGCATCTCTTCTCATGTCACGTAAGGTCCGCACAATCCTCCTTTAATGGCATCAAAAGGGACTGCCATCATTAACTAATGTGATCACATGACATCACACTTTATGAAGAGTATTTAGAAGCTGCAATTGATGCAAAATGATCCAGGTGGGGATTTATGGATCCTCCCCAATTAGTGCATTTGACAACTTTGTCCCATGAGATACACTGGTTGTCAGTATACTTCTGAGTTCAATTCAAGGTGCTGGTAATAACCTATAAAGTTCTATATAATATGGGACCAAGTTATTTGAGGGACCTCTTTTCCGCAGTTATATCTAGAAATCCCATCAAATCCAACAGAAGAGGCATATTGTGCATCCCATTTATTATGGAGTGTCATCTGATGGGACCCAGGAAGACCACCTTTTCTGTTGTGGCACCTGCTCTTTGGAATATCATCTTTCCACCCTGGATCGTTTTGGGCCTGATCCTTCTGACTTTTAGGAAGGCCCTGAATATACAACTTTGTCATGGCTGCTGAACATGTTACAGTTTTATATTTTGTCTATTTGTATTTATTTGTTTTCTGATGCTGCCCAGGATTAGGCATGTGAGATGAGCAGGTATACAAACTGTACAAGTAAATAACTTGACAAAATAAAATCAACTGGAGTTGTCGTACAATAAAAGAAGGAAACTCAAGCTAAAGGAATACAAAGGAATCTGCAATTCTTTCTTATTACTAAAGAGTTTTTCAGGTCGACAAAACTTCCTTTGATATCACCAACAAATTGTCAACAAGTTGTAATAATGTTTTCATTTGTTATTCTTCCTTCAATTATATGGAACACTTCTCCAAATAGTAATCTCTGGGATACCGGAAATATTAGATATTATTTGGTTGAAATATACTAAAACCAGGGTAAGCAATGCAATCCAAAAGCAAACAAACAAAAAACACCCAATAATTGCACACTAAAAAAATCATTGTGCCTATCATTCACCACAAATATGACCTAGAAAAATTCTCTATAACTATGAAATTGTTTTTCCATTTAACTTATTTTTAATTCTTTGTAACATGACAAAACAACTATTGTAATATACACATCTAACAGCCATTCTATGAATTTTTCTGAAAACATCTGGTAATACTTGCTTTGATATCATGCCCATGAATACAATGCTGAAAGGCCAACATACACATTTCCTAATACTGTAATATCCATTTGTACTGCAACAAACTGAAATAGCTCTGGATGATTATGATTTTTTAAGAAAATGCATACATTAACAACCTAGCATGAAAATTATAGAAACTTATTTTCAATAAATGCAAACTATCCTGAAACAAAACTGTTTCAAAATCAACCATGCTTTTTGCATAGCAGAATGTACCAACAGGCTGGCAGGTGTTAGGTATTTGGTAATTAATTTAACTCCAAATCTAACATTACTCAAACATTTGGTAAATTTCATTGATATGTAAAAAAATTTTTTTTTCTGAAAGTTAGTGATTTTTTGTTTGCGCCTGATATGCATTCACACATTTCATTACAAAACAAAGGAAAACCTAGGAAAGGAAAGATTTGGAACAAATCTTTATATATTGGCATGTGTGTGGTGCAGTATTAGTGCAGAAAAATGGAAATACAAAAACAAAAAAAAACTAGAGTTTTCTTGATGTTTATTAATGCTGTAAAAATTGGAGTGCTAACATTCAAAATCACATGGAATCTTAGGCCTGATTTATACAAGTCTTTGCCTCACGTGGAAGCCTGTCTTTCTTTTTCCGGATAAATCAGATTTTCCTCCCTTCCTAGCAGATTTACATTGGGTCTAATGCTTGGAATTCCCAATAAACATGAGCAGCTGGAAATCACAGGAGCATAAACCTAATCTGTATTAGAAAAACAGATGTAAACTATCACTACATATTTAATAATCATTCTATATAATTCTGATTTGCTAAAATGTAAATAGGTAAGCTGTTGGTGGGCAGGAACTCCTCTCTCTGGGAATTAAGAATGAATCCAGTAATGTCTTATTCTATACCATTGCTTATTAAGAGGATCCCAGAACACTATCACATCACACACCACCACAGCATATCCACCCTAAGTTTCTCGCTATTGTGTGAAAATATAAAGTCATGACTTCACGAGCAGCAGACATGCATACAACATTAATGGAATTTTAGTTTTGCAAAACGGTATACAGATACTTCAAATTCCTGTAAAATCTTATAGGTTAATGAATATGCCCAACATATTGTTTAAAAAAATACCCCAGGAACCCACGAAAAACACAAATTGAAAAAAAGCCAATTCGGAGCTGGAGAAAAAACAGTAAGAAATTTACAAACGCTGACCACGAGGTCAAAAATCAGTCTATCTCATTAAGCAGACAATTACATGTTTTTTAAAAAGCACACCATAATAATGTGCTAGGTTTTTCTTCTTCTTTTTCTCCCAAAGAAAAATCGAAAACTTACTTTTTGGCGGACAACTTTTAAACAGCGAGCATACAGTTCCTCACCAGCATATGCTAAAAACTACTTCTCCCAGAATGCTGCAGTTTCAGCGATCTTTAACCTTTCTCAGGGAGGGAGAAATAGAACTGATTTCATAATGACAGAGATTTATTAAGCCTGAAAACTGAAGTGGAATATATAGGAATCTAATCTAAACAATTAGATTAAACAACATTAATAAAACAACAAGATAGTGCTTACGAGTGTATTTGCATCGGTGGTTACTTGCTATTATAGCAAACTTTGAGCATAGCAAACTGAGCAATAGTAATAGTAATTAGACTTATACAGCACTTCATACTGCTTACCAGCTCTCTTTAAGCGGTTTACAGAGTCAGCATATTGCCCCAAACAATCTGGGTCCTCATTTTACTGACCTCGGAAGGATGAGAAGGTACATATTATATAATCAGAAATCATATTTCAAAACTGCATTGTATATATGTGGTATTTTTCACTTGCACTTTTTGGTTGAAACATTATTCAATCCTTAGTATTTTGTTAAATTATATATAAATGCAGCCCAGAAATAAAAAGAGCCCAGAAATTTGCCTAAAGTTTATAAATGTTAATGCTTCTCCATTTGCACTGGTTTCCAGTCTGTTTTCAGGCTCATTTCAATCTTTAAAAGAGGGAATAGTACAATACCATAAAGCATACGCACACATCCATCCATGCACATCCATACAGACACATCCAAGGGTTCAACCAAGTGCTATATAAAATTGTTAAAGTATTATTAATGTATTGACCAAAAATTTAATAAGTAAAAAGTTAACATTTTATTGTTACTTATAAAATCATAAAGGCAGGATAAAATATAATAAAGAAAATAGCCACTGCTTTTCTGGAACAAATGTAGTTTTAGTTTTTTTATTTTTATATGACTCAAGGCAACAAATATAATACATCTTATCCCACCACAATTACAACCCTGTGAGGCCAGTTGAACTGAGACAGCATAATTACCTCAATATCATCCAGCTTTCATTTCTAAGGGAGGACTAGAATGTTCAATTGCTTGGGTTTTAGTCCAGTATTTGGAGAAATCAGCCACATACAAAACATATTGTACCTGTATCAGGCACATCGAAATTGTTTCTTTTCTCGTAAATTTTAAACCTGCTTTCCTCCTGATATGCTGTATAACAGGTCCAATAACCCACAATATCCTTTTAAAGCTGTATCTATATAATTTGACGATTATCCTACTACTGTATGTGGAAAATCTACCATTCTGGGAAAGTAGTAGGTGACCCAGGTTTTCATGTAGACTGTGCCAGCTTGGCAGTTCAGGCTGTCCTCCTAGTGTTCTGGAGAAAATAGCAGATTATTTTTTAAACAATCTTTTGGGTATCTTTTTCTTTTGGCTTGTAATACATTTTTGGTGTTTGATTTCTAATGTTCTTACTGACTAAGGATTCCTGAGGCAGAAACAATCACACGCTGTTCCCAAAAAACTTTGTTTTTATTTCAATGGCTGTGAATTATATGCATTCTATTCACAGCCCGTAATGAGTCCCAGTTTATGAATAGTCCAAGAGAAGTCTGCCAGTCTTTCGGGATACAGCTGATAAGCACCCACCTTTATCTCCCTTAAAATGCTGCCAACAACTAAATTGCCAATTAGCTGTACAATGCCTAATGGAGCACAGTCAACACAGCGCTTCCGAGTTTACAACCAGAATGAACAAAGTTGCTTCTTGCAAAGGCTCATGTCCCTTTGCTCCTCCTTTATGTCTTATGGGAGGGCCCAATCATCTCCAAGCCTTACGCCCCTTTTGTCTTAACTGTTCTTGTCTTCTGGCAGCTGCACAGCACACACTGGGGACAGGCTCCCCCGTTCCTCTGCCTCACTGATGTCAGATTCTGAAGGCTCCAGAGTCAGCACATAACTCTCAGATGGCCCTGGCCCCATCTCTGTGTCTGAGGCAAATCCCTCATCCAAGTCCTCCCCAGACTCCAGGACTGGCCCATGTTCCTCCTCACTGTCCGACTCTGCTGCCAGCTCCTCAATCATTCCTCTGTAGAATTGTGTCAACAGGTCCTGGGCAGTCTGAACTTTCTGAGTTGATGCAGAACATTCTTTATTCTGCCTTTTTGATGATTCTAATGCTAGGTGTTCAAGTGCTATGAAATTATAGAACCCAGAAACTTGAAGGTCTCTACTCCTGATACTGTGTTGTCTAATATTGTGAGAGATGGTAGAAGGGCTCCTCCTAAAATCTACTCTGTACAGTTTTAAGTGTGTTTAGCTCAATTGTCCTGGTTGCATCATAGCCGGAACAGCCACAATTTTACCTTGGATATTTAAAGATAAATTTTAGTTATTTCTTACATTGTTTTTATATTTATGAATATCATAAGCTGTTATGGGGCATCAGCCAAAAATATAAGGCTTGCTGAATAAAGACAGATTACCTAATCTAGCATTCTATTAGTGATCAAGAATTAAGAAAGTTAAACATGAACAGGGAACTAATATCTTCCACTTTTGTTCTTCTTATATGTATATTTCCACTATTTCGGGAGTCATTGATAACTTTTTTTCTCCATGAAGTTTTCCAATCTCATTTTGAAATTATCTAAGTTGGTAGCCATCATAACTGATGGTAGCAAATTCCTGTTTAACCACCTACAAAAGTTACAGTAACAAAGCTGTGCAATATTTTGGATTTGATTTGAGACAAGTTCTTTGGAACATACAAAAGTGAAAATGCACCTAGCTGCTTTAATGAGTCATACACAGGTGCTGCATCTGGACTCCTAACATTTCAAAACAATTTTTAAAATGAAACCAAAGCATTGCAGAATTGTGTAAATATTTTGTACCGTGGTTTTGATAGGTTCTTCAAAAGTGTCTAGCGAAACGATTGTTTGAATCAAGGATTTTTGGCACACCCAAGGTTGTATTTTGTTTTCTCTTACCACAGATGCTATGACTTTTTACCCACACCTTTGAATTATAGCATTAAGTGACCATGAAATTCAATTAAAATACTCCTGACATTTCCTTTATAGTTACTGAGTATTGTATGATGCAATAGACTAAAATGAATGTTGCTTTTGTGAATGTTGCTTTTTCATTTTATTATGTGAAGTTGGTTTCTTCCTTAGTTCCTCACAACAGCAAACTGTGTACAAGAACTCCGCGATGTCGATTTGAATTACAGATGGTATTCTTTTGCCTCCTCCCTAGCTTATATTTATTCAGTTAAACTAACCATCTTGTGATGCGAGCAGAGCCGATAATTTTGCTGTTTAAAATGGCGCTTTAGGGATTGCTACCGATTGACTTCAAATTGCTGCGCACTAGAGATTAAGCCGAGAAAATATGCAGTTATATAATTGTAACGCAGATATTTTTCAGAATATGTGTATATAATGTCGGGCCGTTGTAAGCAGTCCACCATACCGGGCTGGCTTCAAACTACTTTCTTGAACCTTTTCGAGCAATGTTTAGAGCTTCGATGTGTTCCCTTCCCGGGCACCTCTCCGCAGCCCCACTTCCTCGGCGAGCCGCGCTCACGACTCCCAACGATAAGCAGTCACCTCGCCGTGAAGCGCAGCCGCAATATGGCCGCTGTGTACAGCGAGGCAACGGTAAAAATAGGCTTTTACAGCCCCGACCACAGCCGGGCATGAACCTTTGGGATGGGGGACCGTTTAGTTCAGTCATAGTTTAAAGCTGAGGGGGCGGCTACGAAGTGACTTCCAAATCGTTATCTTTTACTCGTTCTCCCTTCCTAGTATATACTTCCCACGGAACAATAACTAGTGGTTGCAGCAAATGAAAACAACAACGTGCGGGAGCAACTCGGCCGTCCGAGACTCTATGGCTAAAATCGAGGGCAAGAGCGTCCACACACAGACGACTTCAGTCCCCACCTCCGGCCTCAGAGCAAGCAATCAGAGAACGCAGAACTTAAAAGGAAGAAGTAGGAAAGAGCTTCTTCTTCTTCCGGCGTTGCATTGTAGAGCGCAGGCGGATCTGCGTCTCGAGGAGAGAGAGAGAGAGGGGGTTCGTGCCGCGCAAGGCTGTCATGGCGACTAACATCGAGCAAATTTTTCGGTCTTTCGTCGTTACCAAGTTCCGGGAGATCCAGGAGCAGCAATTCGGCAGGTAAATCGTGAGAGGAGTGGGCTTTATATTGCTTGGAAGCGGGTAGATTCGGGCAGTCGGTACGCGGAATAACGGACGAAGCGGATGGAGTGGGGGAGGGGTTGGCCGAGAGACCGGAAGGGGCATCGCGGGGGACACAGCTGTCCGAGAACGAGGCCGAGGCCGAGTTTAGTCGGGGTATCGATTTGAATTAGTCAGGGAAACTGGGAGAGAAATGGATCTCCTAAAGACGGAAAGGGTGCCGGAGGGGCGGGGGGAATTACAAGGTTGAAAAGAGAGGAGCCGACGTAGGCGGCCTGCTGGTTGGATTGGCGTCGCAAAGAATGTCAATCCTTCGTTATTTGAAATTTCGAAATCGGATCGTTGGAAGGATTTAGTGGTTTTGGGAGCTTGAAAGAAGATTTTAAGCCCTGAGTCGATCTAATTGCTCCCCCCCCCTCTTTCCCGGGAATGAGAAAGGGACGAGAGTTACATAGAAATACATTGATAACAGGTTACTGTTCGTAGAAAATTGTAGAATCTAACTCTTTTAAAGCATAGCTTTAAATCAATTTGCCAATAATGTTTTTGGAAAGACAATTTTTTGTGTAAATGTGTGATTATTTTAAAGTAAAATTAAACATTTTTTAAAAGGTTATGAACGTATACCATGTTGAAGAATATCAACGAAGGATCTCTGTCCAGCTAATTTTTATCTATCTACTTATAAAATTTATAATTATTGATGAAATTATCTTTTGTTATATCACTTAATTATCATAGAATCAGTGTTGACTCCTGGTGAGTGGACAAGTCCTTTAGACAAGAGTTCAGAAGTGTCTCCCATTGCTGTCTATAGGAGTGGCGTCCCAAGTCACTCAGCTGCCTTTCAGGCCTAAGGCAGGACTAGAAGTCAATCTTCTGGTTTCTAGCCTGGTGCCTTAACCACTGGACCAAATTTGCCTCTCTTTTTATTTTATTTACTTGTACTTATGTTCATTATCTATTACTATATATAATTCTGATGTAGACCTATTGGACAAGATAGATAATAGGGGTTTATGCAATGCTAATTGTTTAAAACACCAAATTCCAATTATGGAGGCAGTAAATAAAATACCACATGTCAGAAGAAACTATTCTGAATACAAGAGGGTTTTGACAAGATGTTATGTCAATAAGCTAGTATAAAGGTTATAGATATTCTTTAAATTTTTATAATTTGGCAATTGCAAAAAAAGATGCAATTTGGAAATGCACATCTATATAGTAGTAAACAAATGTTTACATTTAAATTGTTGTATCTGAAGTTTACTGTCTTAAATTCTATTCTTTGGAGGACAGGTACCTTACATGTAAATATGTTCTACATTTTGGAGTCAGTTTTACTACCTAAATCAGCACTCTGTGTGAATGAAAAACTAATATTGAGATTTCTGCCCTAAGTGGTTGCATTAAAAATAATATAAACTTCCAAAGAATATGAGCTGGCAGAGTGAAGTCATTATAGGTCCAAGTATACTTTCTTCAGCATATATTTGTGAAAATAGATTTTCAGTGTTGTAGGCTGAATGATGTACCAAGTCTAAAACTCTGTTTTGTTTTAAATTGTACTCCATACACCTTGGTATGCATTCCATTACAATTTATAACCAATGTATGCCAGGAGAAATAAATTAAAAATAGTCCTGTTTTTTTTAAATGAGGTTTTCCTTCATCAAAAACACTGTTCATTGTGAAAACACTGCCTGATGCTGTTTACTTGTAATGTTAATAGGCCTTTATCTTCATATATTTCAAGGGCATCAGTGTCTTTGAATTAGTATCCCAACTGTGTTCAAATTCCATTGAACATCTGCATTGAGAGAATAATTCTTATAAATATTCCTTTCATTTTCATGAAACAAATAAATGTAGTTCAAGTTTACTTTAGTTAGGATAATAATAATCAGATTGTGTCATAAAACTACAAAAAAGATGTTATATTCTGGAAAGGAGTATAATTATCAACAAATTAGCACTTGAAAAGATCGCTCAATTTTCTTGTGCTCTATAATGTTGATTTGTAAAAGGCTTTTATTTACCTATATTAGCTCAGTACACATGGCTGAAAAACATACATAGTTTCAAATAGTAACATCAGAAAAATAGCACTGAAAGTTGACAACTTATAGTAGGAGATAGCACTAAAAAGAATTTGGCTCAAAATTATGCAGTCTTTATTGTAGATGCTTAATTGTAAGTTTGATTAAAAATATCAGATATTTTCTGCAAGGAAATTTATTCCCTCCCTCTGTTTTTAATCTAATCTTCTGAATAAATGTATGGTACAATGCTTGGTATTCTTTTAAAAACATGGACATTGGACATTATATGTAACATATATTTCAAAGGACATGTAATGTTCTATACACTTGACTGACATAAATTATGACTTCATTTTATTGTATTAAACTTTATGTAATTATTACCTGTTGAGTGCTTTTTGTTTGTTGTGAATTTCACTATGAAAATATTTTTTATATTTATACAGTTTTTGTCTAAGAGAAGTATATGTAAATTGTTGAACTAGCAAACTTAGGGTGCATTAGACTATATTTTTGAAATATGTCTGATCTTGAGATTTTAATTTTTTTTCTTGATTAGTGGAAAGCTAGGAAATCAGCACAATGGTGAAATAAACACATCTGGGCAAGTAAACTCTTCAGATGATACAATTCAATCTATAGAAAGTCTTCAAAATGATCCACTAGTGCAGAAGATAGAACAAGTATTATCAGAAGTGTTGGGTACTGAGCCACGGTACAAATCAGGTAAATTAAAAAACATTTTAAGATCAACTTATAATTTTATATCTATGTCTTTAAAATAATAATGTTTGCAAACTAGTATGTCATCTCCAGAATGCTTGCATTTAAAATAGTCTTCTGGAGATGAATAATGTACTGTTTTGCAAAATGTGTTGTTTATAATGTTTTCTATACCATTTGCTGTGTCAGGATGAATTAAATTGACATTTGGAGAAAATAGTATCAATTTTGTATATGTTTTGTAATTTATATAAATTAAAGTAGCATAAGTATAAATAATGTGTTCTGAAGCACTATTTTAAATTGTAATAGTTTATAGTAGAGGTAATTTTCTGAATAGAGTTCTATGCTATAAAGAAGTTGAGGGATGATTTTGCCTTCAAACATTTTACCTGTTAATGTAGGATCACCCTCTTCTTTGTTTGGAAAAAAAATAAGGTTGTTTTTTTCTTTCGGCATAGAGAACAAAATGCTTCAGTTACTCTGTCCACGAAAACACAAAAGACACTTATTTCCTTTAATAGGTCAGGTGTAGAATTGTTGACTTTTTTTCAACATAGTGTGTTATCTTGGTTTTCTGATGGTTAATAACCAACATTTCAGCTTTACAAAAGATCAATAGGGACTTCGGTGCTTTTGTAATGTTCGCATATTGCTGCATAACAGGATATGTTAAAATTGGAATCTATCTGCAAAAGATGAAGATTTAATTAGAACATGATTTAATTAATATATAAATTAAAAAGAAATTGGGCAAAAATGCCCCCATCTTAGGGTAAAGATAAACCCCTAAATTAACTTAAGCCATAAATGAATATACTATAAAGCAGGGGTCCTCAAACTTGGCAGTTTTAAGACTTGTGGACTTCAACTCCCAGAATTCCTCCTCCAGACATGTTAGCTCAGGAATTCTGGGAGTTGAAGTCCACAAGTCTTAAACTTGCCAAGTTTGAAGAACCTTGCTATAAAGGAACCCGTAAAATACAGGTAGTCCTTGACGTACAACAGTTCAGTCTTTTGAAGTTACAACAGCACTGAAAAAAGTAACTTATGACTGTTTTTCATGCTTATGACTGTTGCAGCATCCACATGGTCAAAATTCAGCCACTTGGCAACTGAATCATATTGATTATAGTTGCAGTATCCCGAGGTGATCAATATTTGCAACCTTCTGATAAATAAAGTCAATTGGGAAACCAGGTTCATTTAACAACCATGTTACTAGGAAACCTGCAGTGATTCACTTAACTGTGGCAAGAAAAGTTGTAAAATGGGGCAAAATTCACTTAACAATTTTTTCACTTAGCAACAGAAATTTTGGACTCAATTGTGGTCATATGTTGTGGACTACCTGTATAGGATCTTAGCTCTTTGGAAATTTATTGTATATATTAGTATTCTTAATAATAGTTGCTTGTTGTCTTCTGTAATCTGACAATTCCAGCAAATATAGCAAAACTGCTTGTTGGTTAGTCTTGTAAAATATTGCCTTTGATTTTTATACAACTTTATGCCATTTTTTGTTTTAAATTTTAAAATATCTTTTTAAAGGAGATGGAGATGATATCGAAAGGAATAATTCACACTCTATTAAAAGAGGCTTATCTGAAGACGTGCAAGATGAAATTCCAAGGAAAAGGTCTAAGAAGGACAAGAAACACAAAGATAAAAAGAAAAAGAAAAAACGAAAGAAGGAGAAGAAAGAGAAGAAATATAAAAAACATGCCAAAGAAACAGATGATCAGCAAAAAGAATGTGAAGATATGCAACTTTCTCATTCAGATCTAGAAAATTCAGGTTCTCTCTTAAATGCAGAAAATGATATAGATGTACACTCTGGGTCTACCTTGAATGAAGTTTCTCCTTTGATTAATGAAAAAACTGTGTATGAAAATCTAAACTCGACTATGTTGAATAATACATTTAGTTCAGATACCAGCAAACTGGATACATCTGAAGAAGATTCTACTCTCATAAGTATTCAGGAGGTCAGTGAAGTTAAACTTGCAAATGAAAAAGAATTGGAAGATGACAGTTACCATCCTAATGTAACAGTAAATATATGCCCAGAGGATAAATCTTTGAGTGATGCTATTTGCACAGTTGTAGAAAGAGTGTCAGATATAAATGAAGTAGAGCAAGCTAAGTTAATGTTGGAGACAACAGATCAAGAAAACATTCCTGAAAGCAGTCCATATTGTGTAAGAGTAGAGCCAGAACATTTGGAAACCAGGCTGGAATCTACTGCAATGAAAGTAACATGTGTGAATTCAGTCACAGAGCCTGTGACTTCGAAAAATGTGAAAGAAACAGTATCCACCTCTTTTGAATCAACTGGCTATAAATTAATGACTCTCCCTTTGGAATCAAATGCAGAAGCTAAAGATTCAGTAACAACTTTAGGATTTTTAGCTATGGTGGTAGGAAAAGATTTTGAAGCAACTTCAGAATTTTTAAATACAGCAAAAGTATTCACAGAAAGAAGTCCTAAGCATTCCAGTAGAAAAGGTGATTCAGTGCACGAATTGGAGAAAACTGTCACAATGAAAGATTTGCACAAGCCACAACAGTTTGGAACAGAACGGAAAGATGTGGAAACTACTGCAGAAGCTGTCCATACAGTCCTTGAAAAAGATCCTGAGCTAGATGTGGTAGCTCAGCTGAAACCTCAGCAAGAAGTTTCAGAATTTGATGTACAAAAATATAATAGAGCAAACCTTGGTACAGAGATTCTAAAAGATATGAAAGAATTAAGAGAAACTTGTACCCTCATGATTGGACTGAATGAATCAGAAAAAAATGCAGGATATCTTCCAATCCAAAAAGATGCAACAGATTTGCAAAGAGCACCACTGTTAGAAAATAGGACTAGAATAGATTCAGAAGAACATCTCTCCATTGTAGGATTGGAAAAAACAAATGTAGAAGTTAATTCCTACTTTACGAAAATTGATGCAAGATCTGATGGTGTAACAGAATCAGAAAATTGGAAACCTGCTCCAGAATCTTCTAAAGCAAAGAATTTGGAATGCATCCAGGAATTTGAAAAGGCTGAACGGATTAATTATTTGGAAACTTCATTAGAAACTGTAATAGAAAATAGAGGAAACTCTAAAATCATTCAACATTCTCTGGCGCTCTTCAGTGTGAAAGTTCCTGAAAATGCTTCACAATTAAAAGACATGAATGTTTCAGAAACAATACAAACAGAGAAAATACAAAATCTGGAAAGTTCGAAATATGTAGATCTAAGAAATGAAAACAAGAATGCAGAGAAGTTGAAAAATATTCCAGAACCTTTGATGCTTGTAAACAATTTAGAAAATTCATCAGAGTTGCAGTGCATAGAAGAAATTAAAATAGTGAAGGAAACTTCACAATCTGATGTGGAGGCACACAAAAAAGATTTCAAAACTGTTCTTGAACCTGAAGAGAGAGATGTGGATGCTGGTTCAGGATCTCTGCAGATGATATTTGCAAACTATTCAGAACATAATCTAGAACTTTATACAGAAACTGAAGGTATGATAGAGTTGAAAAATTCAGATGCAGTTTTGAAATCATTGCATAAGTCAAATGCTGACAACATTGAACCACCATATGCCAAGGAAATCAAATATGTTAAAAGTACAGAATCTGAAGCAGTGACTGAAGTAAATAATTTACAAGAAAACTTAAAACCATTACAAAAACATGTAAAAAATGTGGAACCTGCATCAAAATCAATTGCATTACCAACTGTGACATACACAGAGACACTTGAAGGTACTTCCAATAGAACGCAAAGTGAAACTGAATCTCATTTTGTGCAAGAAATAGAACAGAAATGTTTTGATTCCACTGTAAAGAAGAACCAAAGTAGTGTAGATACAACAGATTTGGGACTTACCTCAAGACGTAAGGAAGTAATTGAAACAAACTCCAGCAAAATAGGAGAAAGTGAGTTGTTAGTTAAGAGTCAAGGTCCATTATTCATTTCAAAATCATTGCATGAAATTGATGTAATAAGTTCAGAAAAAAGTAATCCAGAATTTACAGGAATAGCGGTAGTACAAGACTTAAAAGAACCTGGAAAATCTTTGACAGCTGCAATTGATCCTAAGGATTTTTTAAAATTGAAGAATTTAGTATTGGTTGAATCAAAAGATGATTTTCCATTTGGCGGTACTATGAAACAATTTGAATCAGTTTCAGAATCTCTTGAACAAAATCAAGAACGATTAGAGAACACACAGACACAAATTAGAAAAGAATGTTTAGATCCTGTGCCTGATTTAAGTGTTAAATGTGCAAGAACAGAGATTCCGTTTATAGATGAATTTAATATTCAGGAGAAGAACAAGAAATTGGAAGAAAAAGTAGAAACTACAGGATTAATGGAAGCACCAGAACCTCTGAATTTGTCAGAGAGAGATCTGATTGTTCTTACTTCTGATTCTGGAATTAAAGTTTCAAGATATGGTCCAGAAACTGTGTACTTGACAAAAACAAATTCAGAGGCCATCCCGAAGTCTTATGAAATTCAAATGAAAGATTCAAAAACTTCAGAATCTAAAACAAGAAATGTAAAAGACGTGAACATTGATTCAGAATCTTTGCTTCAAGCAGGTGTAGAAATTAAAGAATACATTCCAGGATGTAAAACAGTGGTATCAGATAGTGTGGAATTTACAGCAGAAATGCTTCCAGAATCAAAGAGTATAACAAAGTTGCAAAACTCAAATGCAGTACTCAGAAGTGAAGGATTGACATATGAACATTTGAAAACACCACCAGCATCTGTATGTGTAATAGATACTGAAGATCTAGAAATACCTCCCAAGTCTACAGAATTGGGCGTAACGGAAAAGCAAGGTGTTCCTACGTCTTTATCTGCCTCAGTGGAATCTACAGATGTATCAGAAGAAAGTTTTGAACATAATTACAGAGCAGATATGAAAAAGGTAGAAGCAAGTCAGAAGTCTATTAATGTAGAGTTCATCGGTAAAGAAAAGATGAACGATCAACCTGTCCAGCCATCTAATGATAATGATGCAAATGTTTCAAAACTATTTATGTCTTCACATTGTGGTGTAAGGGCACACATTATAGAAGAAAGACTGTCAGTTGCCAACGAAGAAAGTGTTTCTGGAATAACTTCAGAATCTGGTACAGGATTGTTAAAATGCTCTGAAGTGTCTGAAACTATCACAGGTCAAGAGAGAGAGAGATTTGATATAACTCTGCCTGAATTTATGGTAGATGTCCAAGATTTGAAAGAAAGCCCTAATATTTTAGATGCACAAGAGAAGAAGACTTTAAAAGCTAGTCAGAGAGAAAAATATACTAAGTCTTCTTATGTATTAGAATCCAGGGATGCAGCTGATGTTTCACAATCTGGGTCTAAAGTTGAACCAAAAGGATTAAGAGCAACAATGAGCTATGAAAGACTATCAGAAATAAAAGATCCAGTGGCCACTGCAATGCAGTTAAAGAAACCAGAATTAACATCTTCAGAATCTGTTTCTATATTGGAAGTAACTGACACTTTGAAAACCCCAGAGCTCAAAACTCCTCGAACATATTTAGGAGTAACTGGTTTCAAATCTTCTGACACAACTGCAGAGAGTTGTCCACTAAAAATAATTGACTCTGACTCACAAATCCAACATGAAAACATTTTGGAAGTAAAAAATTTGGAATCTGCTTCAGAAATTAAATATGGGCTAGGAACATTTCCATTCAAAATTGCTTCAGAATCTGAAAAAGTGACACCAGATGAACTTTCAAAAGCTCTTTCAAAAATATTATCTTCAGGCAATTTGGAAAACCTGGAACAAATTTTGAAATATAGACGTAACCAGGAAAGAAAAGATTTAGAGTCTGCCCAGTTTGACACCCCGGTGGCCAAAGATTTGAAAGGAAGTCTTACAGATGAAGAAATAATAGGTATTCCAGAGACTACTCAAGTTTCAAAAGCAAGAGATACTGGATCAAATCTATCAGCTACAGTTCCAGAAACAATTGAAAAATGTTCTGATATATTTCTGGAAGGTAAAACTATGTCAGATGTACAGGCTACAAATACAAATGTAGAACTAGACAATTTAATTAAAAAGTCACCTGACATTTCTACAGACATTAATAAATCAAAATCAAATTCAGGACTTACTGATATAATGGAATTGAAATGTAACAATGCTTCAGAATCTGTACAGATGAAAGAACTGGAAGATTTTGAAACAGTTGTTTTAAACAAGTCTGTAATTGAAATAAAAAACCTCCAAGCTGTACAAACATCAGGAGAGAAAGAGCAAATGGATTTTCAGGAACTCTCAAAATCAATGTTACCTTTAAACATTCAGAATTTGGAAAGAAACTCAAGTTTGCCACAACAAAAGATATTGGAAACATCTCTAGAACCTGTTAAAGATTTTGTATCAGTTTCTGAATGTTCAAGTACAAAGGATATTGAACAGAATTTAAAAAGTGGATTTGTGGCAGAAGGGAAAGCTGAGGAATCAACTGTAGAACATGTACTAATGCAAGATAAGAGTGCAGAAATAATTCCACAGTTCACTTTGGAAATGAAAGATTCAGAAGCAACCTTAGAATCTGTAGATGTGGCAAACAGAAAAGATCTAGATGTACAGACTTTTTCAAAGGAGCAAACAACTATTAAACCTCTCTGTATGACAACAGAAGGCAAAGCGGAAGTAAATCAACTGGAAACCATTGTGCTGGGAGATTCAGGAGAAGCTGTAAAGCCTGTGCACTTGGCAGAGAAAGAAGTCATCCGAGTGGGAGAATGCATTGAGGCAAAAGATTCAGGAATAGCTATTGAATCTGAGGTTATAATAAAGGATAAAGACTTGGAAGTTTCTCTTCAGGGCTCTTCAAAATATCAGGATTCAGATGTTACTCTGAATTCTTCAGAAATAATGAAGGAAAGTGAAGGGAGTAATTTAAAAGAAAAAAAAAGTGAGAAAATAAGTAGTAAAAGTAAAGATAAAAGTAAAAGTGGAAAAAAAACAAAAAAAAGCAGATCAAAATCTCCTTCCAAGTCAAAGAAACGTAAAAAGAAATCTAGATCACGGTCTACATCTAGACAAGTATCTAGAAGAGCACGTTCTAGAAGCAAACATGATTCCAGTTCCAAGAGAAAACACTCCACTTCACGTCGCAAATCTAGATCCAAATCTGTTGATAAAAAAGAAAAAGAATCTTCATTAAGGTCTAGACGAAGACGTTCACGGACCTCTGATCGTCTTAAATCTAGATCTAAATCTCCTGATAGAAGAGACACTTCAATAAGATCAAGACGTAGACGATCCAGATCATCTGATCACAAGTCTAGATCCAGATCAGTTGAAAGAAGAGACTCAGCTAGGAGAAGACGAAGGTTATCCAGATCTTCTGACAATCGCAGATCTAGATCACGATCAGTTGATAGAAGAGAGGCTTTGACAAGATCAAGGAGGAGGCGCTCCAGATCTTCTGACCATCATAAATCTAGATCACGATCAAGTGACAAAAGAGAGACCTCTCTGAGAACAAGGCGAAGGCGATCTCAGTCTTCTGATCGTTGTAGATCTAGATCAAAATCATTTGACAGAAGAGACTCTTCAGTAAGAACACGGAGAAGACGATCTAGATCTTCTGATAATCTCAAGTCTAGGTCAAGATCGCCCGATGACAAGAGAGAGCTTTCAGTGAGAAGAAGGGGGAGAAGATCAAGGACCCCTGAAACTCGCAAATCTAGGTCTAGATCTGTTGACAGAAGGGAGATTTCAGGGAGAGGAAGGCGAAGGCGATCAAGATCCTCTGATAATCGTAAGTCAAGATCCAGATCAGTTGACAGAAGAGACAGTTCAGTGAGGATAAGGAGAAGGCGATCTAGGTCTTCTGATAACCGCAGATCAAAGTCCAAATCTGTTGACAAAAGGGACAGTTCAGTGAGGATGAAACGAAGGCGGTCTGTGTCCTCTGATCGCAAATCTAGATCCAGATCTGTTGATAAAAAAGAGACTTCAGCTAGATCAAAAAGGAGACGTTCCCAGTCTTCTGATAATCACAAATCTAGATCCAAATCAGTTGAGAATGTAGAAACATCAGGAAAATCAAAAAGGCAATCTAAATCTACTGATAAGTCCAGAACAAAATCAGTTGAAAAGAGGGAGTCAACCTTAAATTCTAGTCATAGACGATCTAAGTCATTAGATCGCCCAAGATCTAAATCAAAATCTAGATCGAAGTCTTCTGAAAGAAAAAAAGACACCGATTCTGTGGATGGATCAAGGGGGAAACACTCTAAATACAGATCAAAGTCTAAGTCCCTTGAGAAAACAGATGGAACTGAGTCTTTGGAAGTAACTTTGAATAATCGAGAAAAATCACCTGAGCAGCACAAATCTAAATCTAGGTCTAGGTCTAAATCTGTAGATAAAGCAGGAGAGAAAGAACGCTTGAGAAGATCAAGAAGTAAAGGTTCCAAGTCCTCAGAATCTAGGTCTCGTAGACGTAGAACAGTATCAAGGTCTAGAAGAAATCGTTCACAATCACAGTCACGTTCTCGAACTCGTTCACAGTCACGTTCAAGACGGAGGAGGACTAGATCAAGATCAATATCAAGACAGCGATCTTTGTCAAGGAAAAGACATAGACGATCTCGGAGAAATCGATCAAGATCAACCGAGAGGAGGAGAAGAAGATCTGATTCAAGAGACAGTTTTAGAATATCTCTCAGGTTACGTTCCAGAAGTCGAACACCTGTCCGTCTGAGATGTTCTAGGTCTACAGGAAGAAGAAGAAGTACTAGTAAATCACCTGATCATCGACGGTCTAGATCTTCAAGCAGATCACCAAAACGTCTCACTGACTTGGGTAAGCAATGTTTCCTCTAGCTAGATAAAATTATCTTGATTATGCTGGCATTCATATATTAATTTCACATCATAAATGTATTCAAAGCTATTCCCCGCCCTTCAGAAGCTTCTTGGATGAGAAGCAAAATAACTTCAAGGAAAAACAAAATCCAGTTGCCTTTTGAAAAAGCAACTTTGGGTTCCACAATTTAGGTTTTGCATTGCATTTATATGCATCTTGATTCTGATTAGTATTTGGAGAAAAATATCCAAGATGACCAGAATGGGCAGGAAGACTTGGAAGACAAAAGATAATTAATTATTAATATAAGTCTTTCTGATAATCACTTCCAGCTAATAGCTTTCAAATATCTTGACTAGTTGGCGTTAATTTATAGTACAAAGTACAAAAATACAAAAGAAAATAGGAAAATAATGGAGGGGGAAAGGAAGGGAAAATGTCGGGCAAAGGGGGAAAAAAAGGTGTTGATTTCTCACTTCCTTTGGTGCAGTCGAATAAGACAATAGCAACAAACATCAACTTTTTACTTTCACATCATAATATAAACTAGCCATTTCTATAACAGCAAACCTATTTAATTGATAAAACCCAAAAGTTTCATTTTTTTCTACCTCAAAGTTCAGAAGCGGTTTCCAAGTAGAAACAAAAGTAATTGTATTTTTTTCTTTGATCAAAGCAGTCAGTGTGGCCACTTCTGCTAACCTCCATCAACTTTTGCAACCATTCATCCATTGTGGGAATCAAAGTGTCCATACATTTTTGTGTGTAAAGTAGTCCTGCTGTCAACATACATAACATCAAAGTTCCAAATTTTTTTCCAAGTCTTTCCATTAAACCCAGAATAAAAGTTTCTGATTTTATCTTTATATTTACTTTGAGAATCTTCTGTATTAAGATGTGAATCTTACTCCAATATTTCTTTGCTTTATCACATGGCCACCATAAGTGAAAAGATCCCTTCTTTACATTCATTTGAAATACATTCTTGACAACTTATCTGGTGTGAAATACCAATGATACATCATCTTATAAATTTTTTCTTTTAAATTATAATTTATTATAAATTTTAGACCTTTCGTCCATGTATTCTCCCATTGTTCATTCTGTTATATCCAAAGTTTCTTGGCTTCTGAATAATGTAATGTTTTACATAGCATTCTCCAAATTCAATAATAATTTATAGACCTTAGCAATAATGTGTTCATCACTACCATGCAGTAAGATATCCAATTCATTTTTTGCAATCAAACCCATAAATCTTTTTTTCTGATTTAAATTTTTCTTTCAATTGTAAATATGCAAACCAATGGCAGATGAGTCCTTCTGATTCTAATTCCTCTTTAGATTTTAGGATCATCAAAATTAAAATATATTATTTGACCATAAGTCTACCAGTCTGGCTTTGTCACCATTCCTTTCTAAGAAAAGTTTCCTGGCTGGACACCCAGAGAGGCATCTTCACAGAAAACCTTGGTTTATATTTATTCCAAACTCTTAGGAGGGCACGTCTAACAAAATGGTTATTAAAATAGACATTTACTTTAACCTTGTCATACCATAAATAGCTGTTCCATTCAAATCTTAATTCGTGGCCTCTAAATCATGTAACCTCTTATTCTGAAGATTAACACTCTTAGCCAGACCAAACAGCAAACATTGAAAAAAAAATTTCAAATCTGATAAACCCAGACCTCCTCTTTCCTTAGCATCTTGCAGTAATTTGTATCTAATTCTTGTTTTTTCTCCTTGTCATATAAACTTGGAAATATCCATCTGCCATTGTTTAAATGGATATCAATTGCAAAGTACTGGCAACTTCTAAAAAAACAAACATGTTTGGTAAAACATTCAACTTAATTACAGAATTAATGATAATGATAATTCTGTAATTGCCCATTAATGATAATTACAATTTATCCCATCTTTTGATATTATTTCAAAGAGGAACTTACCAGTAGTTATTTTGAAATAGTTTTGCATTTCTATTTGCCAATATAACCCCCAGGTTTTTCACTTTTTTCTCAACATTAAAACCAGCTTTTTTTCATTGTCCTGAGAGGTCATATACTTAATAAGCATTATTGTTTTCTGTGTATTTATTTTAAAACCAAATAAAACCCCAAACTAATTTAATTTCCTCAGCGAATATTCTATATTGTTTTTTGCGTCTTGCCAAGTCATCAGCAAATGTCCCCAATTTATTAACTTACTTTTTAATATTTATACCTGTTATTTTCTCATCTTGCCTAGTATTTCTATTCAAAACTTTTTTTCCAGTTAACATTTTTATTGAGTTATAAAGTATTATAAAATACAAAATAAATAGAAAAGCGGGGGGGGGGGGGGGGTTAAAAAAAAAAGAGGAAAAAAAAAAAAAAAAAAAAAATTAACTTGAATTTTTTTTTTTTTTTTAAAAAAAAAAAAAAAAAAAAAAAAAAAAAGAAAGGGGGGGGGGGGGGGGGGGTGTTAGAAAGAAATGAGGAAAAATAAGAAAAAAAGAAGCATTGACTTGCAATTTTTTCTGTTATAGTAAAATAAGGCATGAACATCAAATCACAACTTTTTGCTTTTTCATAATAATATGAACAAGCCATTTCTATAAAGATCTAACAGTCTAATCGGTAAAACCCAAAGTCAAGAGTTTCATTATTTCCCATATCAAGCATGAAGTTCAGAAGCGGTCTGCATGTGAAAACAAAAATACTTACGTTCTTTTCTTTAATCAAAGTGGTTAATTTTGCCATTTCAACCAATTCCATCAACTTCTCTATTCAAAACTTATACCACCTGTTCTACTTTAACTGAAGACTTAATAACTGACCTCTTGAGTGGGTGAGAATGCTAGAACAGATATTTGGAAAGAGGTACATGATTGTCCAAGTTTCAAACCAGCACTTGAATTCTGTAAGTTCGCACCACGAGACTGACAAAATATAATTTCCTTTTTCTTTTAGATAAGGCACAGTTACTTGAAATAGCCAAGGCAAATGCAGCAGCAATGTGTGCTAAGGCTGGTGTTCCTCTCCCACCAAGTCTGATGCCTGTTATAACTCCAGAGAAGAAGGAAGAGAAAGTTACTCAAAAGTCAGCAAAAGAAACAATATTGGAACTGACTGAGGTAACAGGAACAAAATGAAACTGATGTATGGAGGTGTGCCAAAATGTCAAATTTGAAGCACCTTTAGGTGCAAACTGATCATTTTAAATATAGAATGGTCATTTTCTCAGGCAATTCCAAAATTGAAACAGAACAGAGCATCATGAATTTGAAATCATTTTGCATCCTGTCATACTACTGATTTTTGGAAAACAATTTGTGCTATAGTTTTAGTTTTCAAAATAAAAAAAAAACCCACCCTGTTTGAAAAACATTAGATCTAGCACAAGGACACAAATAAGTGCAACTTGAACCAAGTCTGTATTTTTTTAACTTGATTTGTGTGTTTGGGTGTGCCTTTGAGTCAGTGTTGATTCTTGGCTAAACCTTTTTGCCAAAGGTGCTGTCAGCCTCCAAGAATCCTTCTGCTTGCCTTTCCGGGTGCCATAGAACCGGGGTGGGGGAGGGAAGAATAATCGGGCCTCATGGGGGGAAGGGTGCTGGAGGATTAAGTTTGTAAATTGTAAAAGTTGGGATGCTTTCTTGATTATGCTTACTGCGCAGATGTAGCCTCTTACCTCTGTAGGCCAAGGTCAACCGTCCTGGCATACCAGATGTGTGAAACGCCATCTGAAGATGCACCCACATGACATTATACATATCTCAGATTGGATGGACAATTTGAACTATTGGGGGTGGGGACACGGGATAACTTTGTATATGTAATTTTCGCGCTTATTGCTTCAGATCTTGTATTTCTTCTGTTGCTACCACTTCAAATTCAGTAAAAGTCCTTTTCTCTATAACAATGGAGTCTAAGGTTTTCTTTCTTGGGTTTTGAATGGAGCTACACCTGACATTATACAAGATCTCTGTTTTTACTAGCCCACCCGAAGATTTACTTTATCTTCTGAGGGGGTCTGAAAACAATGTCTAACTCAACCAGAAATCAAGAAGATCTGGGGGCTACTGGAACTACAGCCTCACTGCTTCTCAACACTCGAGGAGGCTGAGTTGCTGGCGGGGTTGCAGATTGAAGAGAAACCAGTGGTCTGACCCAAATGGTCTCTGGGAGTAGGATGGAAATTGCTGGAAGAAACCCCCTCCTGGGGTGATGACTGCCAGACGTCGGCATGGAGAAGCTGCATGGCAGGAGGAAAACCGAAAAGATCTTCTGGTGACCCAAGCTTTGCATCTGTTTAATAAGGCCATGAAGGGTCGCAAAGCTGAAAAAAGATATGGATTGCTGACCTGTGAAGAGCCTGGGGGAGAGAGAAGGGGGGCAGAAGCAATTGGAGCTCTGCAGGCCATTCCAATAGCTCAGCCCAGGCCGGCTCAAGCGGCTGCCGTAGCCCAAGCCCCCCCGGGGGGGCAGCACCACAGAGGCGCCGGGCTCCAGATTGCTGTGCTAAGAGGACGCCGGCAGGAGCAAAAAAAGTTGAAAACACCCCAGCCAAGCTGTGCAAAACAGCCCTGAAAGTGGTGGAGGTTGTTGAGTTCGCTCCTCCAGGAAGAGAGGAATTGGGAACTCTGACCCCTTCTGGCGAAACTGAGTCCGAATCCGATGATGATCCTCTGGTAAGTCCACAAAGGGGCCCTATGACCATCCCAGTGGAATTCAGGGAGCCTACCGCTGGCACTCAGGGGAGATCGTTGGCCTTGCTGACTCTGGGTGTACTAGATGTGTAATTAGCTCAGAAGTCTTGGAGAAACTGAGATTGAAGCTAAGAACTTTAAAAACTCCCATAGCCTTTTGCCAACTGGATGGATCAATAGCTGGGGATGTCCCTGCTCATTTTATAATGGAGCCAGTGGAAATGTTGATGAGAAGACACCAAGAGACTTTGTGTTTTATTGTGGCCCCTGGGATGGAGCGCCCCTTATTACTTGGATTGCCCTGGCTTAGGAAATGGAATCTCCAAGTGAACTGGAGGAAAGGGCTGCTGCGCATATGCACCAACCAACCATCGGAAGGAAAGGAGCTGTCTAGTCCCAGAATTCCATGGAGTGGACGTTGATGGCTAGTGAAAGCATTGTATAGGAGGAAAAAATCCCTGAAGAATATTAGGACCTAAGGGAGGTTTTTAGCGAGAAAGCATTGGATGTGCTACCTCATTGCCCCACAGATTGCAGCATTGACATTCTGCTGGGGGTGAAGCTCCCTAAACTGTATTCGATGACACCACGAGAATTTGAGGAATTGCGTTTGTTTATCGATAAAAACCTTAAGCGAGGTTTCATCCAGCCTTCCCGGTCTTGAGTGGCGGCCCCAGTGTTGTTTCAAGAAAAGAAAGACGGCTCTCTTCGCTTATGTGTTGACTACCAGAACCTGAACGGAATTTGTGTAGAAAACGTTTACCCACTACCCTTAATGAAGGACATGTTAGCTCACCTTGCCAAGGGAAATTTTTTCACTAAGCTTGATTTGAGAGAAGCATACTACCGAATCTGAATTAAGGAAGGAGATGAATGGAAAACTGCATTTAAATGCCCTTTCGGCTGTTTCCAATTTAACGTTCTCCCAGTTGGTCTGTAAGGAGCCCCTACTGTATTCATGCAGCTGATAAATGAGGTGCTGCATGAACATCTATACAAGGGGGTGTTTGTTTATCTTGACATCCTTATCTATACAGAGACTTTGGAGGAGCATGTGAAATTGGTGCGGTCAGTTTTGAAAAAACTTCAGGCGGCTAAACTACGCTAAGTGTGAATTTCATTAAGAGAAAATTGACTATTTGGGTTACCGCATATCGCATGAAAGATAGAAATGGACCTGGAAAAAGTCCGGGCCATTTTGGAATGGGCTCCCCCTCGTACCAGAAAACAGTTGCAGAGTTTTCTAGGGTTCACTAATTTTTACCATCAGTTTATCCCAGCATTCGCAAAGATTGCGTTGCTTATTACAAACCTTCTTAAGACTAAGGGAGAATTGAAACCAAAACCCAGTCAACCATTGGAATGGTCCATGGAGTGCCAGGTGGTTTTTGAGAAGCTGAAACGACTCTTTGCAGCTGAACCGGTGCTGAAGCATCCAGATTTGGATCCCTTTTGTGATCCAGGCTGATGCAAGTGACATAGTGGTGGGAGTGGTGCTGCTTCAGTCAAATGAGAGTGGAACTTTACAACCTTGTGCTTACACCTCCCGAAAACTAACAGAGACCAATAGGAGATGGGCTATTTGGGAAAAAGAAGCGTTTGCTGTCCGGTGGGCATTATTAACTTGGAGGCATTTTCTCGAAGGAGGAAAACACCCCTTTGAGGTGTGGACAGATCATAAAAACCTAGAGGCCTTAAAAACCCCTCGAAAATTGTCTCCCAAGCAAATTTGTTGGGCGCAACACTTTAAGCGGTTTAATTTTTCATTAAAGTACCTGTCCCCGGGGGGGGGGGGGATTTATGGCTGATGCTCCATCTAGATTGCCCTAATATAACAGTGTCCACCCAGAAATGATCCATCCTATTATTCCTACAAAGCAACTGGCTGCTCCAATGGTCACCAGAGCCCAGAAAAAGAGGGGTGCTCAAATGATCTAACTGTACAGTTAAAGGAAGCTTTAAAATTGGATGATTGGTTTTTAACCCATTCAAATGATTGTAATATTCGTGATAGTCTAGCATGGGTGGGGGCCAAATTATATGTCCCAGCTAGCCTTAGGTGGAGCCATCTTAAAACAAGCCCACGATTCGAAAGCTGCTGGACATTTTGGCTTTGTGAAAACCTTACATTTGGTCAAATGGCAATTTTGGTGGCCATTTTTGAAAAAAGACATAGAAGCATATGTAGCTAGTTGTCCTGTTTGTGCTTTGGCCAAACGGCTACCTGGAAAACCTGCCGGTCTACAACATGTAGCTAGGCCGACTGCCCCATGGAAGGAAATTTCCATGGGTTTTATTGTGGAATTACCTGAGAGTGGGGAAAATACAGTCATTTGGGTGGTTACTGACCTATTTTCCAAGCAGGTACATTTCATATCCTGTGCAAAGATCCCTTCTACAAAAGCTTTGGCTAAACTATTTATTTTACATGTGTATAGACTACATGGTGTTCCTGAATGGATAATTTCAGATAGGGGGGTCCAATTTACTTCAAACTTCTGGAAGAAATTCTTGAAGTTATTGGGCTCTGCCCACTGCTTAAGCTCCACCCACAAACCAATGGGGCCTGTGAGAGAACTAAGTTGGTATTGGAACAATATCTTAGATGTTATATCCATTATCAACAGGATGATTAGTCTGGCCTCTTTCGCAGAGGTGGCTTACAACAACTCTGTTCACAGGAGCACTGGTTTCACCCCGTTCAAGGTAGCTCTGGGTCACAATTTTATACCCATCCCAGAGCTACCACAGGAGAAACCCAATGTTCCATCATTAACAGAGTGAATAACAAAACTCCAGCTTACCTGGTCAGTTACCTGTAAAGCATTAGATAATGCTCATCAAGCTCATAAAAAACAAGCAGACAAGAAGAGAGTTCTACAAAAACCATACTAAGTGTTGGATAAAGTCTTCTTGTCCACTAAGTATTTACAAACAACCCAGAAATTAATAAATTGGGACCTAAATACGTGGGACCTTTCCCAATTGTATGAATTGTGAATCCCGTTGCAGTGCAATTACAATTGCCAAAAACTTAGAAGGATCCACCTCGTCTTTCATGTCAGTTTGTTGAAACCTGAAAATACTTGCGACCTCACCAGGCCACCAGTTCCTCTTCTAATTGAAGACGAGCAACATTTCGAGATTAAAGAGATTTTAGATTCAAGGAAACAGAGAGGAAGACTCCAATATTTAGTTGTTCGGAAGTATTTCCCTCCTCAGTTGGAATGGGTGAATGAATGTGATGTTAGAGCCCCTAAGCTTATACAAGCATTTCGTTTGAAATATCCTGACAAATTTAAATTCTTTTATATATAATATTGTCTCTGGAATGTTTATTTTCCTATTGTTTTACTCTTTTTTCTTTTCTAGGGCTAACGCCTCTTGCAGGAGGGCCGAATGTCAGCCTCCAAGAATCCTTCTTCTGCTTGTCTTTCCGGCTGCCATAGAAACAGGGGGAGGGAAGAATAATTGGGCCTCGTGGGGGAAAGGGTGCTGGAGGATGAAGTTTGTGAATTGTAAAAGTTCTTGATTATGCTCACTTGCTTACTGCGCAGATGTAGCTTCTTATCTCTGTAGGCCAAGGTCAACCGTCTTGGCATACCAGATGTGTGAAACGCCATCTGAAGATGCACCCACATGACATTATACACACCTCGGATGGACAATTTGAACTATTGGGGGTGGGGACATGGGATAACTTTGTATATGTAATTTTTGCGCCTATTGCCTCAGATCTTGTATTACTTCTGATGCTACCATTTCAAATTCAGTAAAAGTCCTTTTCTCTTACGATGGAGTCTAAGGTTTTCTTTCTTGGGTTTTGAATGGAGCTACACCTGACAGGTGGACTAGAATTCATGATTTCTCACTTTCTAGCCAAACCGGCTTTTACATGATAGGAATAATAAAATGACTTTGTTCTTTATCTGGGATAAAATTATGCGTCCCTGTGTTCTAGAAGTGAACTAGTTAGCTCTCAGATTGACTGGATCATTTGGCTTCGTAACTCTAAATGGCAGTAATAGCAGGTTCGGTTATATTGTTTTAGTGGATGTTCTGAGTCTAGTTTTTCAACATTGTCATATTTTAGGAAACGTCATTATATACATTTATCTCCCTGATCCTTTAAGAATACTTATTTCATTATATACTATATAATATTGACTTTATTTTCAGAAATGCAAGAAGATTGCCCAAAGCCAGGAAGATGATGTCATTGTAAATAAGCCTCATGTTTCTGATGAAGAAGAGGAGGAACATCCTTTTATCAACCATCCCTTTAAGCTGAATGAGCCCAAGCCTATTTTTTTCAATTTAACTGTACGTATTGTAAAATCACTTGTAGCTGCATTTTGTCTCATTTAAATACTTTTTACAAAATACTTTACTGACAAGGGGAATACACGAGTATGATTTATTATTAATTGCAGATAAATACTAACAGTGTTAACAACACTTGTAATAAGCTGTAGCTACATTTAGGCATATTCGTTGTTGTTTTTAATGAATTTCACCAACATTTTAAAAAGCAAAATGTGTATAGAGTTATAAGGGGTGAAAAGATAGAAGTTACATTCCTGCCTTCAGGTTACTGAATATTTAGACAACACACAGTAATACATTTTACACTATTGAAACAGTGAACCATTTAATTTGTTTCATATAATTTATGGAACAAGGTTTAGCAGAATCGAAAAGACGAATGATTTCTAATACTCATGTAGGTCCCAGACTCCTCAAAAATTGTTTTGGAGATTTGGAATTGGATGAAGGGATGTTCTGTTATGAAAATTAAAATTATGTATGAGGTTGCATTTAATTTATGATGTATTAGAAGGTTTACATGATGGTGAGCAGGGTAAAATAAGGAGTTTAGCCAACTCAATTTAAAATATCTTGATGGAACCTAGAGAAACTGTTTAATATCTTCTTAGCATCATTTCAAAATCTTTTTTAAATGCTTTTTATTAGAGATTTCAGGAGTAGTAAAAGATAATACAAATTGAAATAAAGAAAAAAATGATTTTTAAATAAAAATAAAATAGCTAAAAAGCAATAATTAATAGGCATTACAGTATGACCTGCCATGATTACTTAAATAAACTATTGCTGTAATTTTTTAGGATGGATCAAGACAAATGTGCCTTTGGCTATGATGTCTGTTTTCATAACCTGGATGGCAAATATTTGGAAACAATCTTATTTCCTATAATAATAAATTTATGTTATATGGATTTTCCTTGAGTAGAATTCTTCTCAAGAGATAGTTTAATGGAAAAAGAGAAAAGAGGCAGTATTTGCTTTTAGTGGGACTTTGTCCTGCCTCAGATACTGTTGACAAAGTTGACGAAGAATGAATTCAAATATCACCATTTATTTCACTGCTTCCCCCCCTACTTTTGAAACATTTATTTTAAAAAAAGTTTTATTTTGCTTTGTATCATGGAGTTTGGAATGATACTTTATACATATTACTTGTGATAGTTAAATGATAAAAATGTGATAAAATTATCTGGATTGTTGGAAACATGGCTTGTTGCTCGTTCAGTTTGTCACACAAGTTTTGCCAGTGCAGTGCTAGGATTTCACTTATATGTGTATATGTAGTATGTGGGCTCATAATTGTAAGTGTGTTTATTATATTCTTTCTCTCCCCCCTCCCAAAGACTCCTACAATAAAACCAACACCTCCAAAAAATCAGGTAACTCTGACAAAAGAGTTTCCAGTTTCTTCAGGATCTCAGCACAGGAAAAAAGAAGCAGACAGTGCATATGGGGAATGGGTTCCAGTTGAGAAGGACAAGGATGAGGACAAGGACGATGTGTTTCCCAATCCAGCCAATTTGGAGGTAAAAAGTTGAGAGTGGATTTATACTGGCTATAAATCTTTCATTAAATGTAGAGACATTAGATTATAACCTAGTATGCAAACTGAACAATTCTCAATTAAGTATGGGCTGTTTTTAGATTGTTCCCCTGCTCCAGTCAAGTTGTCAAACTAGTTATTTTAGCGATACAAATTCCAGAGGAAAGTTTGAAATATAAATTCCATTTTAGAAAATGTATGCTTTTATAAATAAGAAAAAGCAACCACCCCGTGCATATAATTTGACAATTAGAATAGGCTATATATTGTGTTATTAAAGTTATTTTTATGGCTGATTATACAGTCAGATAGTTACACTGGAGCTGGCATTTTTATCCGGGACCTGACATAGGCAGATGTTTGATGGTTTAAAGGTATTATTGCAGAATAAAAGCTGTTCAAAGTACAGTTGCCTATTGCAATTTACTGGTGGTGATTTTGTCAATGCCGATGTTGTTCAAGTAGAACTCCAGATGTTTTGGAAGTGCACCTAAGATGGCTATTACTAGTGATACTGCCCCCCCTCCACAATCATTATACTTCTATTTGCAGGTCTTAATATTTTGTGATTTTATCCATTTTTTTAATCTTCTCTTCTACCGTCTCTGGGTACTGCAGTGTCTGCCATCCAGATTCAACATTGACCTGCTAGCTTTTGTTCTGTTGTTAATTATTAATATAGTTGTAAATATATATTATTTCTACAGTTTACATAATATTTTCAATATTGCTAATTTCTCAGAGACAATCTATATTTGAATCAAAACTAATGCTAAGAAAATGTATTCAGTTGTGTTGTGTGTGTGTGTGTATATAAATATGTACTGCACGTTGTAAAATGAAATAGCATGCACCTTGTCCTTTTGTGATCGAGACATGTTAAATCTGGAATTCCACCTTGTGAGAAGTTTGAAACACTTTGAAAAATAATTACAACCTTCAGTGCAAATACTATTTGCAAGTGTAATATGCATTTTTCAACTGCTTTCACCACAGATATAAGTATATTAATGGTTTGCTTTTTAACAAAAAATTGCATTGAGAGGCACATTGTTTATGTGTGCAAGTATATATTTATTTGCTGCCCATCTTCGCTTACAACGAAGTAAATGCAACAAGATAAAACGTTAACATTATATTAACATTCAAATTGACTTAAAATTAACAAACCTGACAAGGAAGGGAGCAAGATACATAGGGGATGAAGGTGGAGTTAACCACCCCCACCAGTATGACACAGTTAGACATTGGGGCACCAGGCCCTTTCGGAAGGCCAAAATGATGGGGGGAAGATCATCTTGGGGAGTAAGATGTTCCAGAAGGCATGTGCCATGGCAGCCAGAATTCCTTGACCAATGGGATGATGTCCTTTCTGCTAATGTGGTTGGAGACCAATCCCATTGGAGTGAGATTATTCCTTCGGTAACCTGGTCTCATGTCACAAAGAACTTTAAAGGTGATAACCAACACTTTGAATTGAAGCAAACTAGCAAGTGGTGCAGCTTGCCAAACAGCAGGGTAATGGGCCAACCTAATGGCCACAATATTGGCTTGTAATTAGATAAAAATTTGTATTCCTCTGTAGGAGAATATTTACCTAAGTACATGGAGAAAAGATAATATTTTTTTATTATTATTTTCAGCCTGTGGACATCTCATCAGCACTGAATGAACGGACAATAGCCCAAAAGAGACTAACGGAAAATACATTTGATTTGGAGGCAATGTGCTTGTTAAATCGGGCACAAGAACGGGTAAGTTATAGTTTCTATTTCCCTATTTTATCTTGAAAATTTTATTAAAAACTGAAGGATGTAAAATCTTACCAGTTTTACGTATTTATGGCAGTATTAATTTCAGACTTTTAAGTTTCTTTAAGACAATGTTGTTTACATGTTCCCATATATAAATACGCATTGAATTGTTTCCTTAGGATGAGTGATAAGCAAAACAAAAGCAAAATAAAAAATAAAAAAATAAGCAAAATTGAAAGAAAATGATGAAATCTAATTTGTATCTGCATCTTTTTCTCTACCTCTCCATGCCTTTCAGTTTTGGAAAACTGTCCTTTCTTTGACCATATAAATGTACTGATTCAAAACTGCTTTTGTTTTTAAACTTCTCACTTTTTAGAGGATCTTACTGAATCCAATGTCAGTTTCCTTGATCTTCTCCTTCCTAATTCTTGCTTCACTTGTTTGTTTTTCATTTCAATTCTTATACATTATTTCTACATGATCAAATCACCTATATCTTTTATACTGTTTTCAGTTGTGAATTAAATCCATATTCACATGCCATTCATTCCTAACCTTATTTTTTTACAACACAAAATTTTAAAATAACACATTCCCACTGCATTCAATTTTTATGTTTCGCCTGATACACCAAACTAACTTCTGATTAATAAAATGGTATGCCTCAGACTTATGTGTAGCCAATTTAACTTCTGTTCGTTTTGTGCAGCAAGATTCATATAATCCACTATCTTTCTGCCCATGTTTATACATTTTAAATTTTTGCTATCCATTTTCCCTCTTCAGTTAATGGTTTATCAAATTCCAAACTTTTTCTCCCATTTTCCACCATTTATGTATAATGTATAGTCATTTATTCTATCTTCTTTATTAAATACCAATACCTTGGCTTTCAACACATTAATTCTTGGATATGTGCTCTTAATTGCATCATATGATATACCTGACATTTGGAACACATAATCTGATTCTCAGAAAATAAGATAGTATCTGCATGCAAAATAGCAATAGCGCTTAGACTTATATACTGCTTTAAAGTGCTTTTAGCCCTCTCTAAGCGAATTCATTTCTTAAATTGTGCCTCCCTAATACTATGAGTATTTTCAATTATTTTATTCATACATATATTACACTAAACATCTTTATTGCACTTCCTAGTCATTATTGAACCATTTGGGTAAGCACTCCATCTGTTCTTGTGTCTCCAGCAGCCAATTTTTGACTCCGTATTCATGTAATGCAATTCCGTAATTATCACTACTACTACAAAGTGGTTAATGACAGGAATAAGTGTTGCAATTGTTAGTGCCTCATCATGTTAATGATGGCAGTTCTGGTTGCAGTTGTTAAGTGAGTCACCCTCCATTTGTGATCTCCTGCTGGCTTCCCTATTGACTTTGCTTGTCAGGAGTTGGCAGTGAAGATGGTGATCATGTGACCGCTTAATGCTGCTTGAAGTCAGAATTGAGAGCTATTTGCCAATGATCATGATCAGAAGACCATGGGGATGCTACAATGGCTGGAACTTCAAGGACCAGTGCCATCGTAATTTTGAACTATCACTGAATCACTGTTGTTAAGCAAGGACCATATATATAATATATAAAACATATGTAGCTCAGGGCAGAATTGAATTGTAACTCAGAGAAGGGGTGTATGTGTGTACACATATATACACACACATCTTGAATCATAAAATATGGAATAAACTTCCTTACTCTCCTGTGTAAAAACCATAGTCACCTTGGAGGTTCTCGGTGCTCTCTGAGCTTGGCTGTTTTCTTGCAGATGTTTCATTAGCGAGCTAGGTAACATCATCCATGCCCTGTGCACCAAGAGTCCCACAATTCAACTCTGCCCTGAGCTACAAATGTTTTCTTCCACCTCTCGTGTCAGGTGCTGATGTTTCTTCTGGCAGTTTCAATTTCTATTTGTTTTAGTTCAGCATTGCCATAATATAATTTGTATATAAATGAAATAAATAAGATAACAGTATACAACTTTGGTTCTTAAACTGGAGCAATTACTCCCAAGTGGGATATTTGGACCTACGCTGGGGGTAAAGGAACAACCTGTAGTTGCTTATTTGTGGGTTGAGTGTCCACTTTGGGACTGCCACTCTGAGCATGCTTGTGTACAATAATGAACTGGGGTTTTTTTGAGGGGGGGAATGGGTGTAATAACATTATTTAACACTGGGAAAGGGGGTAATTTAGTCGAACAGTTTAAGAATCATTACTGTACACTCCTTTCCTGGTTTTAAAGCATTTAGTTACTCAATACTGTATTCCATTCTAACTGTTGCTTCTGATAGATCCCTTACAAATTCTTCAGTAGGCAAATAAGGTAGCCTGGTATGTCCATGTTTTTAAGGACCATCAACAATTTACTGGTAGTCCTCAACGTACAACAGTTCAATTAGTGACTTTTCAAAGTTACAACGCCACTGAAAAACGTGACATGTCCCTTTTGCAACCTTCTGACAAAGTCAACGGGGAAGCCAGATTCACTTAACAACCGTTACTAATTTATCAAGTGCAGTGATTCACTTAACAACTGTGGCAAGAAAGGTTATAAAATGAGGCAAAACTCACTCAACAAATGTCTCACTTAACAACAGAAATTTTGGGCTCAATTGTGGTCGTAAGTCAAGGACTACCTGTATTGTAGCATAGCTGGTCAAAAGCCTTAGGAAATAGTAAGATAGGGTCACACTCTAAGGTACAGAGTCAGGTTTATATCAAAATACAGAGTGAACCTTCTGCAGGTTTCCGAAAGTTCTGAGGGATTTTCCCCCCTTAGAGAAGAATCTACCGTATATACTCGAATATAAGTCGACCCGAATATAAGCCGAGGCACCTAATTTTACAAAAAAAAACCTGGGAAAACTTATTGACTCGAGTATAAGCCGAGGGTGGGAAATGCAGCAGCTACTGGTAAATTTCAAAAATAAAAATAATTAATTTGGGAAACGATCTCACTATCATGAAAGGTTTAATTGATTCACTAACCCAAAAGAAGAAGATGATGATGACAGCGGGAGGCAGGAGTCACTCTCTTCCCCTCCCTCGGAGGCCCCCTGAGTCAGGAGTCACTACCGCCGGCGCGGCCCCAGTCCCGCCGCCTCGGGAAGGGAAAGGCAAAGCGCTTTTTGCCTTTCCCTTCCCGGCTGGGGCTGTTGGGAGTCGCTGCCGCCGGAGCGGCCCCAGTCCCGCCGCCTCGGGAAGGGAAAGGCAAAGCGCTTTTTGCCTTTCCCTTCCCGGCTGGGGCTGTTGGGAGTCGCTGCCGCCGGAGGCCGCGACTCCACACCATTTTTTTTTTCAGAGGGGAATCTGACTCGAGTATAAGCCGAGGGGGATTTTTTCAGCACAAAAAATGGGCTGAAAAACTAGGCTTATACTCGAGTATATACAGTATATTGTTCCATCTATATTCTTCTATTGTTCTTCAAATAGTCATAACTTAACATTTAAATACTGAAATAATGTTAACTCTTGGAGATGTTTTTCAGAAAGTATTATCTTAAATTGTTTTGAAATGAAATGTACTACTTAAATTGATATAGCAAGAAGCACTACAACAAGGAAGTTATTTCGATATATTCTTAATGCTTGGAAATATTTTAATTAATTAATATGCTCCTTTGTAATTGCAGATTGATGCCTGGGCTGAGCTGAATACGATACCAGGCCATTTTACAGGCAGCACTGGAGCACAGGTCTTGACTTCTGAACAGTTATCCAACAGCGGTCCCCAAGCATGGGTTAAAAAGGTAGATGATATTCAGACAGATGAGTCCAAATGTCACAATTTAAATTCCTTTGAAATCACTGGAAGAAGTGATACTGATACTCTTAGGACATTAATAACATCCTAAAATATATGCAGAAAAATAAATTAAAAGCATTTATTTTTGTGTTTTGTCACAATGTGTTTTGAATTCTGTATTTACACTGCTTAATAGCTCTGTGTTAATACTGGTTTGATAGACGGACTTTAGAAACTGGGAGACTGATATGTGCTCACCTGTTTAGAAATAACTTATAATTTCTCCTAGGGTTACTGATATTTTGTGCTGAAATTGTCTTGAAATGTGGTTCCAATTCTATGGGCTTTTCTATTAGTTTAAGCTTAGTCTTGATGCTGATTTCAGTACAATTTGGATAGGAACTCAATGGTCAATATGGCTGTAAAAATTCACTTGCTTGCTTCTGTTGTGCACATCTTTCAAAGTGGAGAATTAGAAGTTTGCCGAACTCTGGCCTGAACTAGCAGTATTCTTGGCTCTTAGGAGAAGATTCTAGGATTTTCTAGATTGCAAAGGCAACATTAAGAAGTTCTTATCATTATCTTTATTAAATCCTAAGAACAATGGCCCATACTGGATGGGGACATCAGTAGGAGACAAGTTAATGAAAGTAGACATGTAGTCTTTGCAAATTGAGGAGAGGGGTTTTTTCCTTTGTCTGCAGAATACGATTGTGCATATTAATAGGGCAGCGGCAGAGTAACACACATTTATTTGCATTTATTAGTTGCTCAGAAACAATGCAAAGATAATGAAAATAAAGACTGTTTGGATAGCTTTTACAGTTGGGTTTTATATGGCTGGTCCTGATCCGCTCACAGAGCCTATGTTGTATCTGCTGTTTCTGTAGCTGAAATCATAAAGGTGCTGTTAAGTTTGTAGGAACTATAGTTTGAGAATTTATAGTTTTGGAAAGTTCAAAAGTCCCTTATGTTGTGGGATTGTATGCTTGGCAAGTACATTTTTACAGTCTGAATAAACAATTATTTATATATTTGTCATGCTCGCTGATCTATCAATTAATTTTATGATTGTCTAATTCTGATTGGCTTTTTTCAAAGCCCTGTTAGTTGGAGCCTGCTTGTTTTTTAAAAGCATTGTAGTTGAATCAGTGCATTTAGATACAGTAACCAGAGTTTTATATTTGTGTTTTGTTGATAAAATGTATTATATACTTTTACACTTTTGTAATTAAACTATATGGGAAATACTGTAAATACACTATATGTAAATATTTCTTCATGAAGGGGGTTTTCTCTATGAAATAAAAGTGGAGAATTGTTGGTAATTATTAACTTACAGCAGCCATTTTAACAAAAAGTTCACTTCCATTATATGCCTGGTATTCAGCACCCATGTACAGTTCACAAAAAAGGCCATACTTTCTATAATATAATTGGCAGAGTACCTAATTGGTACATGCTAATTTTAATGAAAGCTGAAAAAATCTTGAATCATGACATCCCAGAAGATGTTGCAATAACTTTTTTCCCTTGTTTTTCACAAGATGCCTGAGTGACACATCTAGGGGCATATCTTTTTTTTAAGCAGTGAACATTTTGTAACTACTTAATTAGCCCTTCCCACCTATTTCAAAATGTTGACAGCTGAGGACTGCTCATAGGTATTCTTCACAGAAGATTGAAGCTTTGAAATTAATGTATGTAGTGTACATATATGTAGCTGGTACGGCTTCTGTTTTTAAGGATTCTAAGATAGGAGAAATTGACTCTTACTTTTCTTAACCCCAAGCATTTTGTTCAGGTCTCTTATACTTATAATAATCTTTATATTATATGCTTTGGATTATAAATCTCTCATTTATAATATAGTCTATTAGGGGAATCACATATAACATTGCTTTTTTTTCTTCACCTCATACAACTCTCAGGCAATTATTCATTACTTGAGTAGAACAGTTATTGGAGGCCTGGTACATAGAGTAGGTACTTTTTTTAATAAAAGGTGTTTGTTGGATGTACAAATATATGGAGATGAAGCTCTTGCAGCTCTGTTTGTGGATTGATGTAGTTTGCATCGTGCGATTTCTATCACCTTTGGTATGAAGATAGTTGGGTAGAAGATTTCTCAGAGATTTATGAGATAAGAATGTTGACCTTTTTAATTCTGTGATATTGTATGTCTCCACATTTTCACCCAAATTTAGAGGTCTATGTATATGAGAAATTACTCTGTTATTGGAGCTGTCTCCTTGTAAGAATGATGATTCCCCCCCCCCCCCCAATGAATAGGCAAATCAAAAGCACCTTGAAGCAGTAAATTTTAGATTTTGTTGAGTGTGTAATATCCCTGAATATTCTTCACTTGAGAGGTTTCAATTGTATTACCAGAAATGTTGGTTTCTTGAATGAAGTAAGAAAGATGACAAAATCTATACAATTGTTATATACAACCTATATGCATACAGAATTCCTGAATGAAAAGTCTTTCTTACAGCATTTAAGTTTAGTTGCAAATAAGATTATTAGCAAATAAGATTGTTGACACTCAGTAGGACTTGAATGCTGCATATGATCAGGCTGTTAATTTTTTTGCAAGTGAAATCATATGAAAAACAAATAAATTTACTATTATTACATATAATAAATATTCACCATTTTCTTAAAAGAATAGGTGTTGGGTATGTCAGTTGACTCTGGTAAATTATTGGTAATTTTTCTGAGAAATGAAATTTTAAGTATACATTGTATAAGGCTTTTTAAAAAACTTACATTGAAATTTAACTATCACTTAAAATAAGAGAAGGATACGCAGAGGGTTATGTTTGTTAATGTGCTTTACGTTGTAGAAAGCAAGCCAATTTTAAAAAGCAATTTGTGTTTTTATTTGCTTGAATTTTAAGCAATGTAATTTAAAATGTTTGGGTATTAGGGGTTTTTGATATTTTTGAAGAAAGAACAACTTCAGTCTGTTTGCATTATCATCAATGATGTAATCAGTTCACAAATACAAAAATATTAAATTCTTCACAGTACACGTGGAACACATTTCTTTTTAGCCTTACTGTATTTATTTGCTTTTTGAATCACAGTGATTTCTTGAAGAGGGTATTTGTTAAATATTAGGCCAAAATAGAAAGAAAACAATACTAATTGTTCAGTAGAGATTGGTATCTCAAATAGCAGTCCGTATTCCACCATATTTTTCAGATTTACTCAATAAGTAAGCATGTTTAGGAGCACAGCCTTAATAACAAATAAAACTAAATCGCGCTTGATTTTCAGACAGTGTCCCGTATATTACTATCAAAAATAATCTTTTAGTTTATAATGGTAACCAAATTCATATAACCAGTTATTTCCTACTTCAAAAAGAAAAGTTGGGATACAAAAAATTAATTTACTTTTTTCACCAACCAAGAAAATGATAGACTCTTGAAGGAAAATGGGATAAGCATGATAGATCTAGGAGAACCAGTGTTTGGTGTTTTAAGGAATGATTACTAGGTTGAGTGCTGAAGTTGAATAAAGCGAGTTTTTTGGAAGTTGACTTCCTTGGATATTCTGAATGCTGTGCTCTTCTGAAGCTTCCCCTGTCCCAGTACTCTGTCCCCCTTCAGGAGGACCTAGATTTCATCTGGAGGGACTGACAGCGCTGATCTTACACGATTGCTACAATGAACAGGAAACCCGACCAGGAGTTCCCAGGTGAAAAATGTATAGGAGAAAGCATAATGGGTATGCTATAATAATCTTCCCTTACTTCAGAAATCAGTGCCTGCCAATATTACTCTCTCCTGAAAGCAATGCAAGATCCTCCAACAAAGTAAGCATTTGTGTAATAACAAAACAATTGGGGAGGGGGCACTTAAGAACAGGATTGATATATAGATTTCTCCTGTTTGCAAAGGTTGGAATACTCCTGATTTTGGACCTTCTTAGGAGCTTAAACCAACGCCTGATGATACTGCTATATTAGATCAGTGTAATGATAAAAATACACGTTATTTTACCTGCAGCTTAAAAGCAGACAAGAACGTAATTAGTGATTTCATGTAAGGGCTAATTCACGTTCTGTCATGGAAGTAATGATCTGATTTCTGTCGTTAATATGCTTCGGAGCAAGGCTTCTTAACTTTGTGGGAAAAAATTTAGAAGCACAGTGAACTGCCTTTTAGCACTCTGGAAGCATTTTTCAATGATATATTCCTGATGTTGTGGACACTGTGGCTACAGAATGCAGATTAGAAAAAAAGGATTGTCTGCCCTGAATCCAGATAAGAGAATGGAGTTAGATATATTTCCAGTAATTGGAAATTAGAATTTCAGCTCCATTTGCAATTCCTTTTTCTCTATTATTGTGGGCCTTTATCATTTTAGTAGCCTTGATATTCTACATTTCAAATATAATAAAAGACTGTGCACATACATACATAAGCACACATAGCGGTTTCAGCAGTGAATGTGAGTTTTTGTGATACTCAATTTAGCTGCAGTGTCCATCCACATTATTTTCCCCCTCATTTTACTATTGCTCCTTCTTTAGCATAATGCTGTTATAGATATAAAGGCAACTCTGGCAACTTCACTCTCCCCATTCCCCAATCATGTTTGTGTCCATTTAGAAGTAAAAAAATAATAATGAAGACCACTGTCTCTTACATATGGCCATAAGAAATGTTGTTTACTGTATGTGAGAAATATTGATTTGGTACAATATTCTTTAAATACTTAACATTGGTTTAAGTGAAGTTTCATTTCTGAAGTAATTACAAACTTTGCAGAAATAGTCAGTGGCAGACATGGTCTGCTCACTGTAGTTCGTTCTGTGTTTTTCTTATAGGTATTCACCCTTGCACCCAGGATTGGGTCTTGGCGTTCCCATTTGTGTGGGCTTTTCTTGGCATTGAATGAATCTGGTAAATTGTGATTTCTTACCTCTTTCGTTCCTAACTATACCTGCACCAGTCTGAATATCATTTTTTTTCCATTACAGTGGTGTTGAATACTTCCTCTCTCAGGCATTCTTACTGCTAGGTGCTTTTATTAGATTTCATTTGCTTGTCCTGTAAACTGATTGTAGACCTGTCAGCCTTTTTTTACAGTAGGAAGAAGAAATGGCTTGCCCTAGCTAGTGACAAGAAATTTACTACTTCACTTGAGTAGTCATGGCGAATAGGCGGCAATACAAATTAATAAATAAATAAATAAAATAAATAAATTAAACAAAAAGTCTTGCTTAGTATAGGGAGATTTAAAGACAAATTGCCATAGAAGCAATATAGTCAGAGCAAAACAAATAATTCAGAATTTAAAAACTTTTACACGTTTCCCACATCATTTGTTGACTTTATAGTTATTTATTTCAATAATAAGCAATCTTGACTTACTGTACCTTTGTACTGGAAAATATATTAATAGTATTGTAGATTTAGTTCCTCTGTACTGTGAAATAACATAGTCACCATGTAATGTTATTTCAAGTACTTGTTCAACTTTCTGATAGTGATTGTTTAGCATTGTAAATAAAATAGCATATTACATGTATATACTTAACAGGCATTTTATTTTAGTTAGTTTTTACTAGCCAAATGGTTTCCAGAGCAAGATACGTGCAAGCTGGAATAGATAGGCCTTGTTCAAAGCATCTGGAAGGGGGTATGAGGCCGAAAATAGCTCATATAGTTTTCTCTTGTAGATGAATCAGTGTAGTATTTGACATCAACTACTGTTAGATGTAATTTGCAGGATTGTAAAGGCTTGTGGAAATAATCCATATCATGAATTAAAATGCCTGGAGTGTTTGACAAGGAGTTGTAATATGCAGTTCAAGAACAACAGAATAAATATTAAGATTCCCCTTAGAAACCATAAACTTCAGTACCTAATTAAGCACAGATTAAAAAGGATTTGGGGATTTTAGACAAAAACGGTTCTTTTTTCCACTGGACTTTGGCACATATGTTTTCCTTTGGGTTCTATCATTGAATTCTACAACTGGATAACCTGTGAACATAGTGTTATAATCAGCTTGATGCGCAATTAGAAAACAGTGCTTCTTCAAAAATGTTGTGCTGTACTTCAGGGTTTTTTTTTTTAAACCGTCCAGGTTATATTTCATCTTCGTAGAAAAAAAAAAAAAGACTACTTAGGATTGTGCTCACCTGCATTTCAAACAAAAAGCCTTCTTTTTATTTTGCCCCCAATAATTAGGGCAGTGTCTGATAAATTCTTGCAACCTCAAAGACCCTCCTGAAACAATAGGTCCCTGGCATTTTTGTGAACTGGATACACATTGGTGATGAAACAGACATTGTTGATGAACATTCTATCATTGCAAAGCAGGTACAAAAGAGGAGTCGGAGCCCTGGGTGACATTGACTGGGGTTTGTATCATACTCTGCATGGTTGCCCTTTTCTAATGAGAGGTTCGTGGAAAGGAGAGGGGAGGATGAAAATGGAAGTAAGTAAAAGCCATTCTAGAGGTGTATCAACTCGAAGCAGTTGGTAACTGGCATCAGCTAACATGTTTCTGTGTACACAAACTGCATGGCTTGCACCAGTCAAACTGTTTCTGTGAGAGGTAATGTTTGCCTCATTTAGCCTTTTCTTACATAAGAACACTTTTTCCAAAGTAATGTTCATTTGCATGGTATACAGACATCTGTTTAATTGTATTATATGGGCTGATTTAATACTTGAGGAACTCATGTTACATACGTTATTGGAATCACTACAATTTGCTTTCTTAACAGGGATACAGAGATTAGTACTGCAGTGTGTGTGCGTATGTCATAATTTTCTGTGCTGAAGAACAAACCTATGTACTGTACACTCAATTCGCTTTCAGTGCCTATTTTCAGTCATTGAAATGTAGACTGAAAGCAGAGGGGTTTCTATGTATAGTTGGTATGTTAAATTTTAAAAATGATGTGCTAATACTACACACACAGACACATAAATATATGTATGTACTTATGTGTTTGTGTGTGTGTATATATACATACATCTACGCAAGCAGTTTGTTGTGTTGGGTCCTTTGGGTGGGGCAAAAAGAGAGATGATAGTTCACAGAATAGCCTGTGAACTTTCACCCCTCTATATGGAAACTTGTTTCAGGGCCAAATCTGCCTTGTAGCTGCCTTCTTGCCACGGTCAATGCCAGCCCTACTATTCACAACACTGCAGCATCGAGGCCTAGGTACGTAAACGTTTAAGGAGTTTTTAAAGAACTATAAAGCAGAAAGCATTTTAGTACAGTTGATATACTCTCACTAATAGTATGATTTTTTTAAAGGTTTTCAAAACATTTGTCCCGTGCTACTGTTGAACTGTATGGCTAAGCTTTTTTCTTTTAAAGATGCTTCTATCATGCATGAGGAGTTTTGTGAGGGAATTGGTTTTCAAAGGCCCAGATTGTTTCTGAAAATGTAATTGGTAAAGGAGTATGTTTTACTCAGTAAGTAATATATCTATAAAAATAAGTTTTTGCTTGTTTTAATTATACTTTTAATTTGAAACAATCCATTGAAGTTTTCTAGATGAATGCAAAAGGATATGCATATATTTTGAAAACCGAGTTGAATTGTAACTGAAAAATAAGTTGAAACAAATGAACTCATTGCTGAAAATGTTAGAAAGGTCTACAATTTTTCTAAAAGTGTGTTAAACAAAGGTGTTCTTTTTCCCCTTTTTTCCCCGCTTGGGTAGGATCAGTTTCTCAGAGCTGCCCCTGTTAGTGGAGGAATGGGAGCCCAACTCATGAGGAAGATGGGATGGAGAGAAGGAGAGGGCTTGGGAAAAAACAAAGAAGGAAACAAGGAGCCTATTTTAGTTGATTTTAAAACGGATCGGAAAGGTGAGTGTCCAGTTCAGTCTACAATTCTAATATGAACAGTCACCTGCTCTTTGAAACAATTATGTCTTGACTGTTTTCTAAAACCCATTCAGGAGAATGCTATTACAAATTCCTAGGGATAAATATTTAGCTGGGGAGCACACAGAAAGAAAAAAAATTCCTAGTCCTCTGTCCCCAGTTCTTACATCGAGGTAGGAGAACTTCATAATCTCTTTAGGAAGCATGCTGGATGGATTGGCTGAACTCCGTTTGAGAGTGCATACATGACAAGCCATAAAAAGGGCATGTAGGTCACAGTTAGTGTCCTAAACTGTATTAAGTAGTTTACTGACATTTCTGGGATGCCTACAACAACACTAATATATAAGACCAGGAATTCTTGCCTGCTCGAAGATAGGCTGCTACATTTGTGTATATGACCAGAAACCTAAGATTTCCAGAAATCTTGTAAAACTACATGTAAAAAAATACAAAAATAATTTTACGACCTTACAAATGTATACATTTTTCTATGCTTTGTGTTGTCTTACATTTTTATTACTAGTAATTACTAGTAATCACACACACACAAACACACACACAATGTGCTGCGTGTGTGGTGTTAGACCATACTCTAACATATGCCTAGAGTTAAAAAAAAAAACACCATTCTGCTTCAAGCAGAATAAACAGTGTGCCTTGCTTAACCTCCTGGCCCAGATGCTAATAGGAATATTCAAGTCATTGATCCTTTGCACAAGGCCAACAAAATTTGGGTGATTTCGATTCCAAGGCTTAGGAACAAGGTACAACTTCTAGGTCCGTCCTGCAGGATAATCCTGTTGAATAGTTGGGATTTGGAGCAGTTCTGTTGGTTTTAGTGGGGAAAGCAGAGACAATTGGAGAGAAGAAGTCCAACATTTAACTGGTCCTGAACTGTGTAGGCTTTATAAGTGATGTAGTATGTTATGATCTCAATATTTTTATTCATAAAGTACAATGATACCTTGGTTTGGTACTCAACTGTGTTCAAATTTGGTACTCAGTGCATTTTGACATGAAAGTTTTTCCCCAGTTGTCATTGCGTAATGCTCAACGCACAATAGCAATAGCACTTAGACTTATATACTGCTACGCAGTGCTTTAGGTGGTTTAGTCAGCATATTGCCCCCAACAATCTGGGTCCTCATTTTACCAACCTCAGGAAGATAGAAGGCTGAATCAACCTTGAGCCAGTGAGTCAAATTGCTGGCAGCTGACAGTCATCAAAAGTAACCTGCATTCTAACCATTGAACCACCGTGGCTCCTAGAACTTGCCGTTGTTGGCTCCCTTGTGACTCACATTATTCCTTATGGGAAATATTTGTTTGGTACTCATCCTGCCTCTCAGAACCAATTAATGATGAGTACCAAAGTCACCACTGTAATTTCATAATTTAGTTAATTTTAAATTTCATTTTTTTTGGTTTTGGCTTGTCATTTTATTTAAGCTTTCTTTGGAATACTAAATATTCAGATAATAAATATCTTTTGACTATACATATATGGGCATATATAAGGTAAAGGTTCCCTTCGCACATATGTGCTAGTCGTTTTTGGCTCTAGGGGGCAGTGCTCATCTCCATTACAAAGCCAAAGAGCTAGCGCTGTCCAAAGACGTCTCCGTGGTCATGTGGCCGGCATGACTTAAACGCTGAAGGTGCACGGAACACTGTTACCTTCCCACCAAAGTGGTCCCTATTTTTCTGCTTACATTTTTACATGCTTTCGAACTGATAGGTTGGCAGAAGCTGGGACAAGTAACAGGAGCTCACTCTTATTATGCAGTGCTAGGGATTCGAAACGCTGAACTGCTGACTTTTTTGATCGACAAGCTCAGCGTCTTATCCCTTGTATATATAGGCATATATATACACAAATAGTATTTTGAGCATAGAGTTTTAGAAGCTGAAGATACATTAAATATACCAGTAATTTTTTATTAACATTTTCTGCACTCTGACATTGTGGTACAGATGTTAACCAGATGAACGAAAGTAGAGCTACAGGTCATGTAAGAATGCACTATGGATAATTGTTAATGAATCAAGCTTAATGAAAATTAAAATTACTTGCATATGAGAAAAAATGGTGAGGCATTGCATTATGGTGACTTGAGTATATTGGTTAAAAATTGGTGGGGGTGATGATTGGAAATGGCATTTTTCTTTTTGCAAGTGTTAGTAGTATTTCTTCATTTGCAGTTGTTGGTTTAAAAGGTATGATTGTGATATAGAAATGTTACTAAATACCAAATAAATTAAGAAATAAATAAACAGATAACCTTTTTTTCCCCCCAAGGCCTAGTTGCTGTGGGAGAGAAAACACAAAAGAGACACGGGCCTTTTAGTACAGTGAAAGATCTTTCAGGTAAGACTTGGGATAACAGATACATGCTTTGCATTTGAGGAGAGAAATGGTCCCAGCAATTGTTCTGGTTAGAGTAAAAAAAAAACAGTTTGTATGAAAATATAGCAGTCTTCCTTGTGTTTCAGTTCTAATTTCAATGTACCTGGAAGATTTTTAAAACTATGTTTTTTCTTGCTAAGGCAAACATCCAGTATCAGCTTTGCTGGAAGTCTGTAATAAAAGAAGATGGTCTCCGCCTGTATTTGTCCTGGTTAATGATAATCGTCCTGAATATCGGAAACATTTCCTGTTTAAGGTAAGTTGTAATTATCATAACATATATAAAAATGCTGACTTGATTCCTAATTCTGTGAAAGCTAGTTGGAATATCATGTGCAGTCTGCATTTGTAATACATGAAAAGTAAAACACATTAAGGGGTCCTGTCCCATGGATGGGTCTCTACTTTTTGATGTTAAAATTCAGTGAGCCCCTTACAGGCTTCCTAATTTGAGAATATTATTTCTTTGATTTGCCATTCCCTGGATGCAGAAAGTAGTAAGAATATAGCCATAACATAGAACAATTACCCTGTTACCTCAGCAATTTAGCAAGAAATAATCCTGAGCAGCTTATCTTCCCTTTAATTTTTCAAACTAGGATAAAATGAAAAATGAATAAGACATCAGATAGGTTGAATTTCGCTATCTAAATGGTTTTGGTCCAAGTGTTCCTCTCTGACTGAAGAAAACTTCTCAAATGAAGTCATTCTGCCCATGAAAACTCTTGGATTTAACACATCGAAAGCATGCTTATTGCTTCAGAGCTATTAATTTTTAATTAATTTGTGTGGCCAATCCTTGAGCCTCACTCAAAAATAAGTTTGCATTCTCTTTTCTCCCAAAAGATGCCATACATTTGTAGATGACATTTAAATATTGTAAAGAATGGGGAGGCGTTCCTACTTTTTTAAAAAACAGGGATGAAAGATATATTCAGCTTTTAAAGTATTATTTTCTTCTCTTTGTTTCCTCATAGGTGATGGTCAATGGAGTTGAACATAAACCTAGTTTTGTCAGCCCAAACAAGAAGCATGCTAAAGCCACAGCAGCCACAGTGGCTCTCCAAGCATTGGGACTAGTACCAAAGGAGCTCTTGGCAAACACCACTAACTTCAGGAGTGCCTCACACAACTAAACTATTGTTTTTAACATTTCAAACATTTCTATTCTGTATAACAGGTATTTCGTTCTGCTTTTGTAAATACATCAGCATCTCATTGTAAAAAAACCTGTACAAACACCTTCAGGCTTTTCTTTTGTACCTGCAAATATATTTAATTCATTTAGTTATGTATATTATTGATCTCAGTCATACCACCATTTCTTAAATTACTAAACATCTAATGTGAGTCTGAAAGTAAATGTAATTTGCTTTAATATTTTAGCTTTATCTTCAATATAAATACAGTAGTTTTCACTTTTGTAGTATGATGCAGTTCCCATAATTTTGGAAAAGTTCAGTTATGCTTATTTAAACTATGTAGTCTTTTAAGCCTACAACTACTAGATAATTATTGGACCCAAAAATTCAATAATTTTTAATCAAAGCAAAATCCAACAACTTTGCTAGATAAGGGTATCTTATTATTTCTCTATCAAAATGTCATATCAAAATGTTTGTATAAGAACAATGTCTACAAATGCAAAGGGAACGTAAGTCAGAACTCATGAGAATTGCAACATGAAACGTCCGCATGTTTTCATAAAAGGAGCAGGAAATTGTAATTAATTTCACACACAATACCTGGTGTTGATTACACACATTTGTAGTAAACAAATAATTCAGCGATAATTGGATGAGGATGTATGATGCTATTGTTGTTGTATTCCGCTTGGTCAAATAAAGCTGTATAACTTCATTTTATTTACCAGCCACTTAATAAAATATTATAATGTACATTTTGATCATTGGAGCAAGAGTCATTAGTAGTAGATTTGCAGTTTTGTTATGAAATATGAAAACCGTAGTAATTTAGGCTTTATAATTTAATAGGTTTTTTTTAAATTTAAAAGAATTGTTTTGATTTATTTGGATTGGGAATATTTCCAAGGACAGATATGGCTAAGAGCAAGTTGGAACTATTTTCTAGTTGGCTTTTAATTAAAGGTTGATATTATATGGCAGGTGAATAATGACTATATTTATCACTACATGTCTTATCAAATAGCCACATTTGAAGATTATAGTTCCCCACTATTTAATCTCAAAATGAAAAGGAATTAGTTTAGATGCTACATTTCCCCAAGTAATTCTGAATTACTATGCAACTGTTAGCTACTAACAGAATTATTGTGTAGCTTTTTACTAGTTGAGAACCTAAATTCCTCCATAGGTAGTGTCTGACTATGAACATATATAAAGGATCCAAGAACTTCAAATATTCGTAATCTCATAGCATGCCTTGCCGCATGCAACAACTAAAATTAATGTTTTTTTTAAAAAAAGACTTTCCATCCCAGAGATTTTTGGCAGTACTGCCTAAAATATGAAATTCTTTTTATTATCTTTGTTTCATTTCTGAAATGATGCTGCAAGCTGTGGTGCTTTTCTGGTCCATTTAATAATAGCCATTTACTGAAGGGTAATCTGGTTAAAACTACTATTAGTATAATGCAGTATGGATGCTCTGAAGGCCTCAGCGTTTGTATTAAGAAGTGTGACATATAATAAAGGAAAAAGCCTTGGGAGTATTGCAACATTTTTTCCTCACCCAGCTATTTTTCTGATCACCCTAATTAAATCATAAGCCTCAACTTCAAAAGATTTATTAAGAGTGACATGCTGACATGATCTGAGACACGTAATTTACAATCTCCTATGACCCTGTCTTCCCCCCCACCCCCCTGGGTGTGTCATAATTCAGCTTCTCCAACGAAATAGTTCATGGGCTGGGTGTCATCACTTTCTCCAATAAAGGATTTTTGCTGGCAGAATACCCGGTGGCCTAAGTTACAATCTTTGTGAGAGAAGCTTGGAATGTGCTTCTGATTTTATTTGCCTATGCTCCTTCAGGTCTTCCCTCCCCCCCTCCCCCTTCTCATGGCAACTTGGAAACAGGCATACTAATGTTTTACATATTGACATTGTTTTCCTTAGATCCACACAATTATAAATGTCAAATTCTTAAAGTTTAATTTAAAATGTGTACTTCAGATGTTACAAGTTTAAGAAAAATAACAAAGCAGTTATATAAGGATTATATACAGTCTATTAATGAATAAAATCATTGATCATTGTGCACGTGGAAATGCTCCTGGTAAGCCATTTTAAATTATCATTCAGTTGCTTAGGTTTTCCATGTGTAGAGATAATCACTCATTTCTAGGAGCCGTATTGCAGATTTTCCTAGTGTTGAATTAAGAGCAAGCTGACTTAAAGTGTTAGGATGCAATCCACAATTGGAAAGTCCTTTGGTATAAGAGTCCTGTGAAAAAATGGGATAATCAAAAACAATGGAATAAACAAAAACAACCTATTCAAAGATCAGATACCAGAAAACTTTATACTGTAGTACAATGAAAAATAAGGCAATCCCCAATCTATGGCTTGATATTGAAAATATACAGATCTATGGGAAAAAATAACCATATTGTTCATGAAGCATAAACAGGTTATGTAAGCCTGCTCTGTCCAGATGAAATATAGTCTTTTAATTAAAAAAAAAAGTTCCCCCGTGCATGCATGCTAGTCATTTCTGGTTCTAGGGGGCAGTGTTCTTTTCAGTTTCTAAGCTAAAGAACCAGCGCTGTCCACATTGTGGTCATATGGCCAGCATGACTAAACGCCAAAGGCGTACGGAGCACTGTTACCTTCCCACTAAAGTGGTCCTTATTTTTCTACTTGCATTTTTTACGTGCTTTCGAACTGCTAGGTTGGCAGAAGCTGGGACAAGTAACGGGAGCTCACCCTGTTACCCAGCGCTAGGGATTCAAACCGCTGAATTGCTGACTTGATCGGGCTTTTAATTATAACCAGCTATATTGTCAGTTTGATGTACTGACAATATAGTTCTCTGCCTGTACTACAGTGAATAAGTTGTGGCTCTTCTAACCACATGAAGGAAACCTAATTAGCATGTTATTTACTAGTTGTATTTTTTAGCAACTCTCAAAAGGTTTTTTTCCCCCCTACTAGGATAAATGCACATATTTGTTTACCGTCATATGCTGTTTGTCGCTGATACCTGTGTTGAACACAGCTGTTGGTTCATGAGTATAACATACAGCAGAGAAAGTTCCATTTTGAGCAGATTTCAATAGCATGGACAAAGAATGGAGACAATGGGGCATGATGGGGCCCACAATCTCCAAGCTAAATAGATTTTTATAATGTGAACGGGCTTGTGTTCTCACATTTATACTTCGGGCCTAGGAAAGAGGAAGAAAAAACCCTTAATTGCAATTTATACTTACTCCTATTACCAATGGAGTATTATTTACCACGGGCAATTGATATTTGAGACTTATTGGTAAAAAGTTCTGTGCTCAAAGATGGATGATTAAGCCAGGCAAATCTACACCCAAAATAGCAGTGGTCTACATCTGAGCATACCAATTAGAGTAACTTGGATGAGCAATAGTAGGAAAAATGTATAAAAGCCAACTCATGAAGCAACTAGGGTCCAGTCCCTCTTTGAGAGAAATAGGTGATTCCAAAATGTGAAAAATAAATACATTTACATTTCAGTGTAAATCTTCCAAATTGGTGCTAGAAAACACAAAAATTTCTTTTTAAATTCTAAAAAACCCTGCAATTTTATATAAATTGCAGGTACTTGAATAAATACAGATAATTTCAGTAGCTGTTTGCAACAAATTACAAAGTGAATAGAGCACAACTTGCCATTTCTACGCTGATTCGCTAAGCAACCAAATTGCAACCATGTGACTGTAGTGATGGCTGCAAGGGCTACAACTTGAGGACTGCTCGTAAATTCAACTTGTTCGGCATTGTCATAACTTCAAACATTTGCTAAATGAATGGTTGTTAAGTGAAGAGCCCCTGTATAAATTGATTTCTTATCTTGAATTAAGAACTGGAAAGGAGATAGTCTTGTAGCTGAACAGAGCAAAATGTATTGCAATCAGGAGCAATTCTATTCTATTAATATGTCTGCTTTCTGAGTTTTATTTAATTGTTGGAATCCTGCATTTTCCTATGCCAGGACTTTCAAAGAGGGCGTTTTACAAAACAGTTTGGAGAAAACCAGTATTTGGCTATTTTTCCCTTTAGTCCCTTCTGCTCCCTCTTATGTAATAATTCTAAAAGGTCTACCAACTAATCTAAGCAGATTTTCAGATAGTGAATGGGATAGCAGAGAAGGGAGTATTTATTGGTGAGAATCAGCTTTATCCCTTCTTTTTGCCAGAGTAAATGTTCATTTGGACACATCACTCACCCATCCTAACTTACCTTTCTTTCCCGAAATCGGACAGTGTACACTATATCATAGTATTTAGAATAGATTATAGTGCACAACATATAATAATATATCTCATTATAATTTATTACCTTGAGTGTCTGCATTGTTGCGCCTCTAAAAGCAACTGGAGACAGCAGTGTTGGAGGGATGCCAGCCTGAGGCCCTGCAGAAGCCACTAAACTTTTACAATTGATCAAGAAGTTCAGCAAAGTGAATGTATTTGTCCCTTTTACTAACACTACAGATTCAGGCCGGTGATCCAATTTCATCTCATTTTTTTCTTTGCAGCTACATATAGTTAAGGAAGATGCACACATACATAGTAATTGTAGATTAATATGAACCTATCTGTGGGGAAAAGAGCTGCACAATAATAAGCCAAATAAATGTTCTTTAAACTTTCTTTATTACCTTTGCAAACCTGGAAAAGCAGAAGGAGGCTTGCAAGGATAATAAAACCAAAGATTGCTATTTATATAGGAGAATTCCAAATATTTCTACAAATTAAAAGTGAATATTTCCATAGAAATAGTTACAATATTTAAATATACCATTTAACATATATAGTTCGAAGCTTTCCAGAAAAAAATAATTTACTATTGAAAAACTAACAAAATGATGTCATGAATTCCCAGAAAGAGAGAAAACCAAGAAAGAAAAAATGGAACGACGATGACACACAACCTCAGGTTCTAAGGGAAAGGGTGGAGGAAGGAAATTTCCAAATAAACAAACAAACAAATTAAAAGCACCCAGATAAACTGAAGCAACCCATTTGCTGTAACTGAAAAATGAACCCTGCCATCTTGACTACCTGAGCTACAGCCCCTTCAGTACTTCTATATAGAGAGAGATTCTAATGCCACCTAGACTGCATATAATATGATGCAGATCCAACCATTGATTAAAGGAAAATGTTTTAACTCTTAAAAGGATACAATTTGGCAGAAATTGTGTCTGGTTTTTTAATTTTGTCTTCAACTCCCATTTCCACCAACCATAAAAGTCCATCGTCGTCATCGTCATCACTGCCATCACCAGTCATTTCCAATTCTCTGAGTAGCAAAACATGGTAAAAGAACTTGAAAATGACCAATTTCTGAACAAGAGCTAATAGTTGTAAGAGAAATGCCTATTAAGCTACTGTAAGCACTAGATCACATACTCTTCAATTTCATTGCCCATTATTTCAGTATCTTTTTCAGCTTCGGTTTCTAAAGGAGAAGGTGCACCATTGAATTTTTTTTGTCTATTTCCTCGCAACGGTAAATCAAATTCAATACCTATAAAAAGAAAAAAAAAGAATGATTTATGTCTTGGTTATGGACAAGAGGAATTTTTACATGGTTCGTAACTTTTCTTTACCTTCGTTTTTCATGGCTTCCCTTAACCCTTTGGTTGTGGGAGAAATTAATGCAGTGATCACATCACTTCCAGCAAGTCCTGCTGCACGGAACAGTACAGTGAATTGATAAGTGCAAACATAGAAATAGGGACACAGCTTGGCTCTCAACAAGTTATAAAGAGAGGTAAAACTGAGAGACCTGCAAATTAAAGAAACAAACAGAATAATCAACTTCCTGATATAGAACAAGTAAAGAACCTAAACCAGTTGTTTTAAGCTGACACATTGATGTACTCCTAAGCAATAATGCAAATCTGACTATCACCTGAATTCATAATTCCAGTGTTATTCTTCCTTTATTTCATTCAAATAATTGGAGTTTTTAATCTAGTTTTCATGCTACTTTGTATGTTATTCTGGGTTCTTTTCAGTTATATTAGGCATTTTAAAGATCAGTTCTTTTTTTTTTTTTTACATCATTCAAATGTCTAATTTTGTCCTCTTATTTTCTATATAGCCTATTTATTGTTTCCCTCTTGATCCAACTTCACTATCGTAAAAATAGGGAAAAATGAAATCCTATAAGTAGTAATCCACAGAACGCGATAATTATTGCATAAATTATAAGTTTATTTTCATCAAGAGATGATTAAGCAGATGTTTTGTAGGTCTTTGGAAAATAACTTAATTGTTCTTTGCTAATAAAGAAAGGCCTAATTTAATCTAATGGCTATAGAGAAAATTATTATGGTGCATGGTTAGAATGCAGTATGCAGGTTAATTCTGTTGACTGCTGTTCAGAGTTCGATTTTGACCGACTCAAGGTCGACTCAGCCTTCCGAGGTCGGTAAAATGCTGACTCTGTAAACTGCTTAGAGAGGACTGTAAAGCAGAGTTCCCCAACCTTTCCAGGTTGGCTGTCTGGAGCAGGGGGAGGGGGGAAAGAGGGGGAGGGGCAAGAGCATGTGTGCATGCGCACAAGTGTCTGCAACGTTCGTGGCAACACTCACACAAGTGGGGCCATGAGCACCTGCAACGAGGCTTGCGCAAGAGGGGCTGTGAGTGCCTGCAACGACACATCACAATTTCTACCACATGTGATTGGGGAGAGGCAGGCCCTCAAATAATCTAGTCCCATGCCATGTAGGACTTTACTAGTACTCTGAATTGAACCCAGAAGCAAACTTGTGACCAATATAGCTCACAGAGCAGAGGCATAATATCTGCTGATCTAGATGGACAGATAGCCACATTTTGCACCAAAGTTTCCAAATGCTCTTCAAGAGCAGACCATATATAGAATGTGTGACAGTAATATATTCTACAAGCGTGTACAAGAATCACAGAATTACCTTTTACAGAAAGCCACGTTAATATGATCTGCTTTTTTAGAGGTATAAAAGCATAAGAACTAGGAAAATGAAATACCTCTTTCCTCTCATAGCATTGGTCTGCTCTAAGTGTCTAAACACAAGCAGATTTTGGTTAGGAGAAATATCTCTATTGAAAACACTCTCAGAAATGGAATTTATGCTTAGCTTTTTATATTTCCAAGAACTTCAACTCACCATTCACTCATGAATACCTGTTGGAGTTCTTCATTAAAGGCACAAGGATGATTTTTTCCAACCATTTTTCTGTCAGCTCCAATTCGAGGAAAAAGTGGAAGCCATGGGAAGAATGGGTGAAGCCAATATACTAGATTTTGCTGGAAAGCACATCGGAGTTCTGTGGAAAGTTTTGGCTCCTAAATATCAAAATATCATTTTAAAAAGGCTACTTTTAAATTATTTACTGAGTAAATTGGAAAATGATTTTTAAAAAAGTTAATGTAATAAAACAGAGAGAATAGCAGCATTATATTTCCACTTTTTCAAAGCATCAAAAGCTATTCCTAGTATTCTGTTTTAAATCCATAAATGTTTATAATATATTAAAACATATTTAATATTTTTGTACCATGCCATAATCTGCAACCAACTGTAACCTTAGTTGCAATTTACTTATAAAGAATTGGATTGATTAAATAGTTTGTTTGCATTTAAATGCCAATTATCCTGATAAAGAGACATAATAAAATAATTTGGAAGCTTTGCCAATTTTGTTGTAAATCTACAGCTGGTCCACCACAAAGCAGAATATACCATTTTTATAAAGTTTAACCTTTATGTGGTTTTTATTTATGATAATTCAAGAGCATTTCTTATAAGTAGATTTTATATCAAAGACAAAATATCTTACACTGTACCAAAACATATTGGGAGAGGTTAACAATAGCTATTTTCTAAAAGAAAATATAAAGGCAGCAATTATTCATACTTATAGGTATATGGAAATATTTGTGTGTCTTTTAAGACGCATGAAAATATGAAATAGCTTATATTAGTAAAATTAATTTTAGATAATAATTTATTTAATAAATAGAAACTACTAGTTTATTGTAACCATAAAAATCACAAATCAGGAAAAAAAGGAGACATAGCAATATAGATTTAATTAAAAGTCTAGCTGAAGAAATGGAACCTTAGCTGGTTTCAAAAAAAAGTACGTATATGCTGATGCCAACTGCAATTGAATGAGGGAATATTTCCAAATTTTTATTTTAATATGATACATACATACATACATACAGATGTATAACCAGATGGGTGACTTTGGGCCAGTTATGCTCTCAGTCCAATTCACCTCAAAAGGTTGCTATTTTGAAGAACAAAAGACAGGGGGGTATATTAGGTATGTTTGCTACCTTAAGATACTTATTAAGTATTTCCGGTTTGTCGGCTTCGCGAGCGGCAGGGATTTGCGAAGCTGCGCGATCCCTGCCGCGCTAGCCGTTTTTGGGGCTCCGACCCAGCCGGGTACGGAGCTAGGCTGCCCTGCAGGGGCAGCTGAAGGTAGGGGGGATCCGGAGAAGGGTTTGGGGGTGCTGCAGACCCCCTCCCTGGCCGGCAGAACCCCCTTTTCCCAGGACGGTGCAGCGGCGGTCCGTAATGGCCGCCACAAAGAAGCTGGCAGCCGGGTAAGAATGCGCAGGAGGAAGTGGAGAAAGTGATTGAGAGGAGAAAGTTTTTCTTGGCTCCTAGGACTCTAAGACATATTTAATAAAATTCCTGAAAAGTATGACTTTCTGAATAATACCTGCCAGAAGAGGAAAAAAGCGGCTGCTTGAAGGTGCTGAAAGGATAGCTTTCCCTCTTTTCCTACGGAATAAATAACTGGATATTAAGAAACCTATTTTTTTAGGTGGAAATTGGTTTTAAGCGATGAGTGGGAAGAGAGAGGATTAAAAAGAAAATATTTGTATGCTAAGATTTGTTGGAGCAGATGCCTTAAGGATTTGAAGACTAGAATATATTGTAACAAGACTTTAAACAGATTTGGACTTTCTTTCTCTTTGATTGATATCACCCCAGAAGGAGAAAGTGAAAACTCTGCCTTGGTTTGGACTGATTGATAACTTTGGGACTGTTTTATCTTTTTTATTTTCTTTTGAATATTCTGGTTGTTGTAAGAAGAAAGAAGGAGAAAAGAAAAGAAAAGATTTATAATGGCTCTTTCTGTTGAGGAACTAAGAAATGGTGTGGAAGAAGCTTTCCTTTTCTTAGAAATGGCGCTTACTAATTATCAACAAAAATTACAACAGATGAAGACAGCAGAGGAACAAGAAAGAAAGGAAGGAGCCATCTTTAATGAATCTCAGAATTTGATCCAGAAAAAAAGAAGAGAGAAAGAAAAGAAAAGAAGAGAAAAGAAGAAAACTAAAGGATTTAAGGACTTAAGATCTAAAAAAACATTTAAGAAAGGGAAAAATAAAGTGCAAAACCAATATGATGATTGTAAACAAAGGGGAAAAGAAATACGACAGAGAAGGGAAGCCGGTAAGGCAGAGGCTAGAAGAAGGGGGGGTAGAAAGGTTTGTTGGGAAAAGAAAGAAAGGGAAAAGGTGGAGAAAAGCTACAACGTTTTGAAATTAAATGGAAAAAAGGAATTTTTTATGGATAATGGATAAAGTAAAAAGATTTTGCAAGGTACATAAGATGAGATGGTAGTATTGCAATGGTTTAAGAGTTGATAAGAGATTAAAATGTTAAAATGTTTAAAAATGATTGGTTTTAAAACTTAATAATAGGAGGGGTTTAGAATATTGTTTTAATTAAAGAGTTTAATAAAATTATGGTATTGATGTTATTATGAAATTTTTATTATAGTATTTCTTTTTAATATTTGGATTTATTCTCTAATTATGCACTTAATTGTGTTGGATGTATTAGTTAGATAGAATGTACCAAGCAAAATCTGATTGGGTATTAGATATTATTTTAAAGATTAATTTGATTAACTTAGGGGGGAGATAGAAAGGCATCATACTCTGATTAATGATTTCAGGAGAAACTGATTTTCTTTTTTTTCATAAGGGATGAGACAAAGGGATGATAAAAAATGGACAAAAGATACAAATATAATGATTTAAACTAAGATGATTAATTAAGGTAGAATTAAGAAGTGTGAAATATGTGGAGAAGTTAATATAGAAGGCTTAGAATGGTAAATAAAATAAGTAATGATATGTAAGATGAGCATGAATATAATTGAAGTCCATGAAGAGAGAGACACCTGGGTCCAAGTTACTTTCCAAAAAGATATTTTTTTTATGTTTTGTGTGTTGTGTGTATATGTCTTTTTTGGGGGGAGAATTGGTAAAAACTTGTAGAAATATAGAATGAGAATAATGGTAACTAAGTCAGAAAGAAACAGATGAAATAATAATAATGATATTGAATAAGAGTAAAGAGAAGTAAAGAGAAATTGAATAAGAGGTTTTGGTATATTATATGGAAATGGTTTAAAACAGAATCATAATTTATCTGACTTGTTAAATTTACAAGGGAAAAAGGTTTAAACATGTAATGAATAATGATAATTTGTGTGTTTTAAAAATTAATAAAACTTGTAAAAAAAAAAAAAAAAGATACTTATTAAGTAATAAAGGTAGGATGAAAATTGAGTAAATAAACGTTGGGCTTGCACATGAGAGAAAAGAAGGGTCACTCTACACTATTGTAGATTTTATATGGTTATAAAATAATTTTGAATTTCATTTGGCGGCAAACTAGTACAGTTCTTTCTATACAATGTAATCTACCCGAAATAAATTTTCCATGAAGATGCGTTTTTGAGACCACTAAAAAAATGGCTTCTGGAGCAGTGCTATATTGTGCGCTTAAGTTTTCAGAGGGTATGCAACTTTATCCAAAATAGGTAATATTTCTAGATCCCAGGAAAATATAATTCAGTATCTTGTCAGGATTCATTTCATGTCTAAATACTCAAGAAACTACATTGTCTTTTATGACTCGGGTGATACAGAGAAATAGATTTGGCTGTCAACAAGCTACTGATGATATATTGGCTCCTAATCAATATGCTAATAACTACATACACTGTGTAGATGTTAAAAAGAACCAAAGATGGAGTTGGAGTCTTGAAGAATTCTATAATTTAATTGACACAGAGCTGAGCATTAAGTCATTTTGAGAATCGCTAAGCAGGCAAGAGCAGTATTGTTTGAACCAACAAAGAATACAACACTATACCAAAAATATTGAGAAATTAGGAGAATCACCCCTTTCCCAAAACAGTTTATCATGGCAACTGTGATGACCCGGGCATGGCACAAAGGCAACACAGTCAGGTAATCAATAAGAATTTATTATCTCCAACTTTGCCCCCAAAATCCAGGTTACCTCCTGGCTAAAGAAAAACTCTCACAGGGACAGCCTTTGACTGCAGAAAATTAAGTCCAAAACATGGTCAACACCAACTGTAACTTTAAGTCCAATCAAGCCAAACTGAAGTAATTAGTTTGGCAGGGCAGGAGCAAGAATTTCAGACTTGAAGGCACGGCAAAACTCACACGGTTGAGAAGACACCAGGAACACAGATAAGCAACGACATCACAAGATAAAGTCACGTTTGCTCCCAACAGCCTGCCGCACACAGCCTACCTTACTTATAAACTCTCTTCCTAGCTGTGCCTAATAAAGGGAATCCGTAAGCCATACAACCCACGTTGCTCTCTTCTCTGTTCCTCCCTGCGTGCTCTAGGACGAAGAGGAGGTGGGCTTGGGTCTTCCTCTGAACTCCCTCTCCCTTGTTCTATCTCTCCCCCTGCTCTGCCCAGCCAAACTTTGCCCTTTCCCAGCCTTCTCCACAGCCAACGGAGCCACACTCTCATTCCCTGCCAGCTGTTCGGCTTCTTCCTTGGATTCAGACTCTGACAGGGGCATGACAGCAAATTAAGGCTTACTCAATCCCATACCCTACCTAGCCCATCCAAATTAAAATAGTCCCCAATACTTGCCTCCCCCCCCCAAGAATTTATAAAGCTGCCTGCTATTAGCATTAGCTATCGTCCATATATTAGCAACTAAGGAAAAATATTAGTGGTTCCAAGAACTGATACAATTTGTTGAAACACAGTCATATTTCTGTATGATGTAACATCCTGAATGTCACTGATAACTCATTAAGGTCCCTTAAGACATCTCCCTCATATTCACAGAATACTGAAAAATTTGTTCATCAACATTTAACGTAGTAGAGATTTTATTATCTTGTTCACCAGATAGCTCTAAACACCAAGAAACAGGTAGTAGAGGTGTATTAGAAAGATATGACCAGCCATTCAGATTTTAAAGTGTTTAAAGTACTAAATATACCAATTCAAAATAAGTGAACCAGTTGCAATTTGAATTGACTCTTATATTGATTGCGGATTCCAATTCATTAATCCAACAGCATTAAATAGCATAACCTACCTGGATACTTTGGGGTAAGTTTATTAATGTTGCTCTACAATGCTGGATATATCCTTGGGATTCTTCTTGAGCTTTTAAGTGATCTGCCCATGCAAATGACTGAGAAGAAGTGACTAGTAGACGAGTTTTAATACTCCAGTCTGCAGGAAATTCAAAACTTGATGAAGAAAGAACATCAGTATTGGAAATGGCCAGACTAGAGTCCTTAAAAAATGAACAAATGATAAGTAAGCAATGAAATCAATAAACTGCCATCAGTTAGGTGTACAAAGAAGCATATCCTACTTTTGCAAACATTAAGCATTATCATTTTAGTTCTGGATTAGATTATGCATGGGTGATATTGATCTATAAATCTAGATTTAACTGCATAAGAAAAAATTCTGAAGTTTATAAAAAAAGCACACTTCAATGCTATGGTGTGTATGGTGAGTGTCCAGTACTTTTAAAGAAAAATGCACATTGAATTATCAGAGGGGTCCTTTGTACTCTCTGACCTTGATTAAGTTATCTTTAAAAAGTAAGATATAATTAAAATTGCAGAGTGACAAAGAAGTTTTGTGTCTGATTATAAGAAAACACGCATGGTTGCAAGAGGCCTGTTTATATGAAGGGTGACTGGGTAGTCTGTATTCAGAGCAGCACATGGGGGATATGCAAGCACCCTGCACTCTCCAATTTTAAGTGTCTTTGCATTTAGAAATTCTGAAATTAAAATACTTACTTGGATCTGTGTTTCAAAAGTTGCTATTTCAGAAAGTTCTTCCTTCCGTGTGGACCCATCTTTGTCATGACTTTTTAAAAACTAAAAGAATGAATAAAACCATATATTGCAGTTTGTAGCCAAAGTCACGAAAAACAAAAACTTCAGAAAGGAATTTAACAAGTAGTTTTGGAAAGCTGTTAGAAGAGATAAGCAGCAGCATTACAATATCCATAGACACTGACACTGAAGTGGGAAGCAGATATGGAAAACCAAGGACATGAGGGATCCTTGGTACTCTCTGAACTTGTTTTTTCTTCTTGAAGACGTTTCATCCATTAAATAGGTAACACATTATCAGTGCTAATAAGGAGTGCTGTTTGCTGTTTATTTATATTCTGGTGACTTGCTTGTCTGGGTAGGAGTGGTCTTAGAGATTCTTTGGTCGGGCTGTTTACTCTTTGGCAGTTTCTTGATTGGGGCATTGCTTATTTGATTAAGTGGGATAAGGCTATATACTCTATATGTAATCTATATGCTGAATATATATTAAAGGAAGATGGATTGGAAGGTGAGGAGTATGGTTTTAAAGTTGGAGGAAAAATATCAGTAACCTGTGCTATGCTGATGACACTGCAGGTAGTCCTTGCCCATACATTTATTTAGTATATTTGTTCAAAGTTACAATAGCACTGAACAAGGGTACTCCTTATAGTTGCAGACATTGCAGCATTCCCACAGTCATGTGAACTCAGTGCCTGTACTTGGTGACCAACTCAAAATGAAAACACTGCAGTGTCCCTTGATTATATACCATCTGTGACCTTCTCTACTAGCTTCCTACAAGCAAAGTTAAAATGGGAAAGCTGGCAGGAGATCTCAAATGGGAATTACATGGTTGTGGGACGCTATGATCACACAGGATTTGCTTAATGATGGCAACAGGAACTACCATCATAAGTTGCCACAATTATGTGAGTTCCTGGTTCCAATTATCATCAGTGGGGATTCCTTGTACTATAATAACTTAAGCGCTAATAAAATAGAATAAAAGTTAATAAAATAAAAATTAAGGAGCAAAATGAAAAAAACGGGACTAATGAAATATAATGATCAAACTAATGAGAAGAGATAGAACACTCAGTCTTAAAACTGATAACTGAAATGTCAAAGAGATAGTTAGCTTATGTCTGTTAGGATCAACCAACAACAGTAAAGGAACAAGCAGTCAAGAAATATGTTGAAGGCTTAAAAAAGATTTTGGCTTGATAGCAGCCATCTTTTTTTTCCCCCTCAAAAAACCAAAGGAAAAAACAGAAATCACCGTAAGAGCCTAACATTTATTTATTTTATTTTTTATTTTATTTATTTGTCAAACATGTACAAGATAACAAGTATGAACATAAACAAGAACAAGGGGAGTAAATACAGATAAATGGTGACAGTAAGACAGGGACGGTAGGCATGCTGGTGCGCTTATGCACGTCCCCTTTAGATAGATAGATAGATAGATAGATAGATAGATAGATAGATAGATAGACAGATGATAGATAGATAGAATTCTTTATTGGCCAAGTGTGATTGGACACACAAGGAATTTGTTTATAAGGACCTCTTAGGAATGGGGTGAGGTCCACGGCAGACAGTTTGAGATTGAAGCTGTGAGGGGTTGAGGCTGTAACAATGGAGTCGGGTAGGGCACTCCAGGCATTGACCACTCTGTTCTGAAGTTGTATTTTCTGCAATCCAGTTTGTATCAGTTGACCTTGAGTTTGTATCGGTTTGCCCATGTATTAGTGTGATTGAGGCTGAAGAAATCGTTGACAGGCAAGATGTTATAGCAAACAATTTTGTGAACTATGCTTAGATCGGACCGCAGGTGGCGCAGTTCTAGATTGTCCAGGCCCAAAATTTTGTGCCTGGAGGCATGGGGAATTCTTCATAAATAAATCATAAATGCATCATAAGTAGCTGGGTCAAATACAGGGAAGCACTATTCCCTGTAATTTTCATTCTCATAAATGATTATATTGTTATTAATTATGTGGTAGGACGCTCTCATCTTCTTAGCATTTCAAACATGCCCATCAGGCACACAAGACTGAGAGCAGTGCCCACCATCATTTAAGCTTTATCGTAACAGAACAGAGTAACAGAGTTAGAAGGGACCTTGGAGGTCTTCTAGTCCAACCCCCTGCTTAGGCAGGAAACCCTATACCATTTCAGACGAATGGTTGTCCAATCTCTTCTTAAAAACTTCCAGGGTTGGAGCATTCATAACTTCAGGAGGCAAGTAGTTCCATTGTAGTTAATTGTTCTGTCGTTTTCCTTTCAAATTTAAAACTCATTTCAACACCCAAACAGCTTACAAAGAACTTACAAAGTTCTATTGCTTTTGAACTCCTTAGGCACAACAACACGGTCGATTAATATGCAATTCGGTGTAACGCACATCCAAGGGCTTCAAACAGTGACGGCAGAGACCAATTTACCTGCTTCTCGGATCTGCTGGGTACGTCCTTCCTCGCCACTAACCACTCCACTTCTGCAAGTTTCCGGGTAGAAGACTGAACCCGACTGGGTTCCGGCAGGAGACGAGCCGTGTTTCCCACGTTCGTGAAGGGGTTGCGCCGCCGGCTCCCCGGACAGAGCCGAGGGGGAACAGGCAAGTCCTTGGGGGTTGCCGCGGACGAAATCTCTCCGGACAGCGCGACCGTTTCGCTTCTCCGAGACCTCTTCCTCTTCAAGCGCAGTATCTCCGGCGGCTTCTTAAAGCCAGGAGAATAACCGGGAACCACGGAACACATGCCGCTCGGTCGGGGACAGCGGCTGGAAAGAGCCTGGCGGACCAAGGGAAAATCCGCGCTTAACTTGGAAGCCCCGCCCAGCACTTGGGCGTCTCCCTTTCTTTTGCCCGCGGAAAAGGCAACCAATCAGAAGCGAGCTCTTTCAGGATCACCACCCTTTTCCCCACGCACGCCCAGAGCTCACCCCCCCCCCCCTTTGCTATCAAAGCTCGGATAGGCAAGAGACCCGCTCGTAAGGGGAAAGTAGAGCGTAACTGGAGCTTTAAAGGGTTCCCTTTAGCTTTTCAAAATTTGATTTCTATTATGAGATCCGCTATTAAACACAAAAGACGAAGACTTTAGAATTATAAATCTACACCCATTTGCTCTCTTCCAATTATTAGTATTAGAAGGGTGAGAATTGGATTTCCCTTTTGTCTAGCTATAGCTTTGCTACCCATGATTCCTTAGTGAAATGTTTCTCAATCTCGGACACTTTTAAAACTCTGTGGACTTGAACCCCTAGATTTGTGAGCCATTCAGAGTTGCGTAAGATGGGAGGCAAATAAATCTTTTACATAAATAATGGGATTTTTGACCATTGAATAAAAAAATTAATATGCATTTAATCCAACTAATAAAAATGCACATAGCAAGCCCAGGTCTGTTATAGCATATGCCAAAATAAACATATATTTATATTACAGGTTTCTTCCTCATTTCGTGCAATAGTCTTGATTATTCTAGAATTACATATTTTAAATTTGATCAGAATCAAATAACAAAACATCGTAGACTTAAACATTAGACATTCTGAAATTGCCTTTGGGGATAAGTATTGTACTTCTGCATAAACAAATGCAGGTTTATACCCCTAGATTCTAAATAACAAAACTTTAAAAGTAGATATTTGAAAACAGGGAAGACAAATAATGCATCCAATTCTTTAAATCTGAATTGGAGACATCTCTTTATTGTATTGTGAAATGCTTTGCCACAATGACAACTTTACTCAGGTTTATTTCAATGTGCCTTCCTCTTTGTAAATGAAACAAGTTTATGTGACAATTTTAATAAAGATACAGACAAAATGTAGTGAAAGGGAAAATTACAAAGTTACAATATGTTGCTCAGTTTCTCATTCATGATGGAACATTAAAAAAAGCATTCAGCCAAACCAAAAATCTAGACTATGAAGTGTTTTTTGAGAAATCTTGGCCGTTATTCAGATTCATAGTAAACTTGTCCTAATGATTTCATGCTTTGTCTAAACTTGGAACAAACATGTAGTTTTCTGTGACTTTATAGGATTCTCCTTTCATCTGAATGAGCATGCAGTCACCCCCTCCCCTCAAAATAAAAAAAGCCAAACAAAAGAAAGCAGTACACAATAGCTAAAAGGTAAGTCCTCTGGTTTTTAGACATATGAATTAGATCTAAGGTTATAAGGAACTCAACCTATAGTTATTAAGAACTGTTTCAGATATTGGCTGAGGACAATTGATACATACACACACACACACACACACACACACACACACACACACACCACTTTTTACAGTGCCTTAGAAACTTCATAGTTGGACAACTTGTTTTTTTCTTGCTTGATTCTTCTGAACCAATTCCATAAAAACTTTAGCTTCATATAATGGTACAGGTTTATCCAGATGAGGCCTGAGAACAAAAACGATAAAATGTACATTATTTGCTTTATCCATTACTTCACTCCCTAGGAATCTCTAGGCAGTTTATAGATATTAAGACACCCCCCACCCAAAAAAAGTATCAACAAATAATACATAAAATAAAATTATTAAAATACTACTGATGAGGAAATACACAGTCAGTCTCTAAAATTCTTCTTGAAGAGTCAGGTTTTTACCAGTTTTCAAAATGCCGTAAGAATGGAGGCCATTCTTGCTCTGCAGTTCATGCTGTTAAAAGGAGAGCCTCAAAGAGAATGTTTGAAATCAAATCATATTCAACTGAAAATGTACATATACATTGTACAATTATAGCCTTAAACCTGATTCCTAGTAAACTTTTATAAGCTGTTGAGATCTATGAAAATGCACATGGACTGTGAACAAATGCAACATCTAGAAAGGCAATTTTCCAGATAATGCGTGAGTAATCCTAAGTGAATTTACTTATTATATGCAGTTTGTCCTAAGGGGAAAATATACATGGATAATTTTTGACAACTTCCTAATTTCAATAATTAGAAAAAGAAATGGGCCCTGAATAGCCTGCACAACTTGGGACATGCCAAGTAGCCTTGTGCAGCCTGTTTTTTAAAAATAGCAATACATTTTCATGGACGGCCTCCCCAAAAGAATGTTTCTGAGCATCTCCAAAATTCATTGCCAACTCCAGCACTTTTACTGCTCCATTAGCCGCAAAACATATCAGCACTCCAAGTACAGTAGAACCTCTGGTCGCGAACGCTTCCAACCACTACCAAATTGGGTACTGACCAAAAACAATTCACCAAATTTTTGAATCTGGTCACAAACATATGCTTGGGTAGCAATTAAACATGACCCCTGACCCAGAAATTTCTGAAGACGAAAAATTAGAAGACGACATTCAAATACATTAGAATATCGCCAAGTTATGGAATGAATTATGGTCGTGACCAGGGGTTTTACTGTATTTCTTTGTGGCTCACAAGGATTTTAAAAGTATCAATGTATCAAACACTTCAAATGTTTTGCAGCCCTGATCTAGAACACTGGTCGCCAAACAGTGGGTCGGGGACCTCTGGTGGTCCGCGACAAAATTTTGGTGGTCCACAGAGAAATATCACCCCCCAAAGCACCCCTCCAAAGCAATTAATCCAGGCTGCGCAGGAACACAAGGCTGTGCCACCCACATGGCACGTGGGAACACAAGGCTTGCGTCGCTTGCATTGTGAATAACACGAGGTAGTGAGGGCAGGGAGGAAAGCGGGGAGGGGGGAACTTGCCCCACTTGCCTCACCTGGCCACTGGGCTGCTTCTTTCCGCCTCTTTCTTTTTCTGCTTTTGGAAAGGAAAGCAGCAAAAGTCTTTCTTTCTCTCCCCCAAACTCTGCCAGAAATGAGTCTTTGGGACCCTGCAAGGCATCCTGATCCAAGAGGCTGCGCCAGCGCTTGAAGTCTCACAAAGACTCATTTCTGGCGGAGTTCGGGGGAGAGAAAGAAAGACTTCTGCTGCTTTCCTTGCATGAAGCCAAAAGTCTCTCTCTCCCCCCGAGAATGGAGCTGGAGATGGTATCCTGCAATCCCAAATAAAGAATGATCGATTGGTAGGAAAATGGGGTGGGGAATTTTCCTGCATTTTTGGGGGGATTTTCCCAGGGTCTCTGGTCTGCGGGATTTAAAATTATGAGTTGGTGGTCCCTGAGGTCCAAAAGGTGGGCGACCCCTGATCTAGAATATTTAGGATCTCTAGAGCTAATCGGGGCTAAAAGTTTTAATTATCATTTTTCTCATCTTTTTAAAGCAGTTAATTGATAAAATACTTAAATGAATATATTTTGAAATACTTAGAATGCTCAAACACCAATTTATCCTTACTTGAAAACTCCGCTTGATAGTTTCTCCATTACATCTTCCAAAATGCGTATAGAAGAGAATAGTCAAGTGAAACACTATATAAAATGTTAGAGCTGTGCCAAGATCCAGGTTTGAAGGAGAAATGTGATTCATAATATATTTGGTCATACAAACTGTTCTCTCACAATCACCTTAAATCAAACACGTGTCAGACTATCTTGGGTACAAATTAACCTATGAAAGAACAATTAAAGAGGAACCTTTTTTCATTGAAATACAGGTACTCCTCAACTTATGACTGGTCATTTAATGACTGTTCAAAGTTACAAAGATCCATAAAGCACTTCTGGCCACTTTAAAACATCACACTAGCCATCCATCATATTATTGTGATCTGTGATAGGCAATTTGTTTGTGCTTAGAAACAGTTGCTAAGTATCCTGCGGTCATGTGGTCACCATTTGCAATCTTCTCGGCCAGCTTCTCCAGAAAGACAGAGAAGATGCAAACTGCTGCCACTAGCCAATGGATTTCTCCTCCCCTCCATGGTCACAGGGGAAGAAAATCCTTGGTTGAACTACAGAAATGAAACTCAGGACACAACGTTATTTCACTAGCTCAATGCAGGTGTTCCCTTCAGGATATGGAGGGGCATACATCCTGAAGATCCAAGCTCCATTCGTGCAACCTGTGGAGAGTTCCCTTCAACACACAGAGGAGAGTTGCCTGCCCTCCTTCAATAGGAAACTCAGTTGTGCCAGGGAGGGACATGGAGAGGAGACAGAAAGCAATTATTTTTATCGTTTCTAACCTGCATTTACAGGTGAAACTCGAAAAATTAGAATATCGTGCAAAAGTTCATTTATTTCAGTAATGCAACTTAAAAGGTGAACCTAATATATGAGATAGACTCATTACATGCAAAGCAAGATAGTTCAAGCTGTGATGTGTCATAATTGAGATGATTATGGCTTACAGCTCATGAAAACCCCAAATCCACAATCTCAGAAAATTAGAATATTACATGCAATCAATAAAACAAGGATTGTACATAGAACAATATCGGACCTCTGAAAAATATAAGCATGCATATGTACTCAGTACTTGGTTTGGGCCCCTTTTGCAGCAATTACTGTCTCAATGCAGCGTGACATGGAAGCTATCAGCCTGTGGCACTGCTGAGGTGTTATGGAAGACCAGGATGATTCAATAGCGGCCTTCAGCTCTTCTGCATTGTTCGGTCTCATCTCTCTCATCTTTCTCCTGGCAATGCCCCATAGATTCTCTATCGGGTTCAGGTCAGGCGAGTTTGCTGGCCAGTCAAGCACAGTAATCCCACGGTCATTGAACCAGGTTTTGGTGCTTTTGGCAGTGTGGGCAGATGCCAAGTCCTGCTGGAAAATGAAGTCAGCATCCCCATAAAGCTCGTCTGCGGAAGGAAGCATGAAGTGCTCCAAAATCTCCTGGTAGACGGCTGCATTGACCCTGGA